TTCTTTGAATTCACATTGATGGTGTAATTTTTTTTATCACTAGGGTACACAAAAGGTGGTACACAGTTGCAGGAGTTTACCAGTGTAGGGCTAAGCAACTTCGGAATTAATGCTAATGTTACACTAGTCCATAACACATGTGTACACGTAACAGTGGTGGCTTCAAATGCAGCAGGACTTTTTGGAATATCATACTCTGTTCCTGTTCTCGTTGATTTGACGTCACCAGTTATTGTCACAGTAAACGATGGAAGGTTATGGAGTAAGTATAATAATGAGTATAATGTGAAGATAACTGTAATGTTAACTTTATGAATGTTTTAAAGTCTGTGTTAATATTTGTATTAGACGGAGACGAGGATGCTTGGACAGACAATGAAGTTGCAGTGAACTTTTTGGTGACAGACGAGGAATCCGGAATTGACTATTGCGAGTGGGCGATCGGTAATTAATATAAATTGAGTATTATTAAAAATTAACCTTTTTTCTTATTTCATTCTATATAATTTAATTTTATTTGTATTCTCGCCTCTCATTGGTTGATTACCAAAAAGGAACGCATAACATTTTGTATAATCTGGTTTGGTATGGGGACACACCCCCTTGACGACCAGCTTAATCATCATATCCATGCAATCCCCTCATTTCCAGTCCTCGGAATCCATGGAAAATTCCAGATTTAATAAATGTACCTTCAACTTTAATCAATTACTCGTTCTTACCTCATGTAAACAAACATCATGGCTGCTAGATCTATGAATCAGTCATTACCTCCCCTCGCTTCAAATCACTTCCGTTACTACGGTTGTATTATTGCGCGGTAAATTTGAACTTATAAAAAGCAACACAATTTTACATCAAAAGTTGTTTAATTATTTTAAAATTAAATTATAAGGAATGACTTTAATTCTTGGCCATATTATCGAGTATAATCTGGTTTGGGTCAGTTTAAGCTTTTTTATAATACGCTTCGCGGATTATAAAGCGTAAACTGACCCAAACCAGATTATACTCGATAATATGGCCAAGAATTAAAGTCATTCCTTAAATGAATTGAATTTTTCTTTTAAGGTTATCAACAACAAGGAATAGATTTACAGACTTTTGAAAAATTAGAGCCTGGAGAAACTTTAGCATTTAAAGATTTTAACTACAGTGTACTAGAAAACAGAACCATATTTTCTACAATAAGATGTCATAATCGTGCTGGATTACTTGCTTCAAAATCGTCCGACGGCGTGAAGATTTCAATTCGTCCGCCATCTACAGCTCATGCAGAGGTGACTGTGTTGCCGATGTCAATTACTGAATATCAGGCAGGTTTTCATTATCAGAGCATCAAAAACAATGTGAGGATACAATGGTATGGGTTTGAAGACTTTACCGGAATTGAGCAATACAAGGTACAAATATCATTTATAATTTCTTTTATTTGAAATGTAAGTACGTTCAATCCCCTAATGGTAAATATGTTTACGATTTATTGTACCTTTTACAAATGTAATAATGTAGTAAGTGATGATTGAAAAAGCTTAAATATTTGCAAGTCAATATGTTTGAGGATAATGTTGTAGGTACAAACATGTATTTGTTGACAGATAACGTTTTCCGGTGAAAAAAGGAAAGTTGAAGAACAAATATCATTTCCAAATGGACAAGACATTCAAATAGCGAATATTCTAGATATGGATATGACAGAAGGTCTGAAGAATATCACAATTCAAGCTATCAGTAAACTTTTACTGACAAGCGATGAAGTTCTTTACAACATAACAATCGCATACACTAACCCCACGAAAAAAGGTAAAATGTTTCATGGCTTTAGTAAATGGAATGGCCCACAAAAATAACTTTAAGGGAATTACAAAACTAAAATACATGAACAATATCTAGCAATAAATCAAGTAACAACTCTGTTTTTTTTTTGGTTGATATTATAATAACGAAACACCATTTAAAGTGCCTATAATATCTAAAAATAAAAAACAAACAAACAAACAAACGAATACCCTATCTTATATTGATATTATTTTCTTTTCAAGCTTACTTTATATTGAAAAATAACGTTTCATAAACATTTCTACTCTATTATAATAAAATAATTATCTTAATTTGAAAAGATACGTATTTTTTAAACTACTAGTAAATGACTGCTGATTTGCAAGAAAGTGTAATTGTGAATACAAATATTAATTAAAATCACATAAACTAATATTATATTGATTTCAACAGCAGGTAGTACCTTGGCGGTGTTCTGGCATGATGGAAACAAAGAGTTTACTGTATCCTGGGATGACGTATTTATTTCGCAACATCCGTTGTTCTATGAAGTTTCCGCGGGAACGGTAGAAGGTGGAATTAATGTTCTACAATGGCAAGAAACCACAGGAACCAATATTACCTTTGGTTTACCGCCAACGATCACGAATCTCTCCAAGTTGTCTGTTCATGTGTTTGTGCGGGCTGTAAGTGCAAGTGGAACTTACGAAGACATCAAAGGATTTATCACGCTTCCAAAATAGTGAAATGCTATATGCGATGGAATTTCAAACAAAATTGAAATTGAGCAATATTTAATGGTTGTACAATTGATATACATACATGTATAATTAATTTGTAAAACCAAACTAAAGAAGTCAAAGAAGATGATTTTGGAAATTAATTACTTTGTACATGTACACTGTATACGTAACATATAATCTTTTCATTAATATCATTTTGCTTAAGAACTATAGCGAAATTTTCGCCTTATCAAGTAGTTATTTTTAAATACATTGTTTAACCAGAATTTTGTCATGCAACCTTAGTTTATACATGCGTAAGACCAAAATCACATGATAAGGATACGTCAATATGAATAGTTCTTCATATGATAAATAAAAAATTATCCAGTTTGTATGGGGTATATACTGTAGTAAATGTTATAATATACACATTAACTTTGAAAGTATCGCCGGAGACGCATCTAAGCTATGTTATTAAATTCTACAAATTCATAATTGTTATTTCTTTTATTAATTTTCTAAATCATTTGTCCCGGAAATATAGTATTGAACAAGTTAAATGATTTTAAGTTGACATACTTGCAATTATAGAAATAAAACACACGTCCACAGATGATATTGATATTACATCGTTTGATTCTAAATTGAAAAGGTATATCTATAAATAGAAACAGGTGATTTCCTTTCGAATTCTTGAGTCGACGTTGTCGTCAGTAAGGCTGCTTTGGATCTTTGTCTTGTTCTTGTGATGTCTTTATATCTTCTTGATGTACGGCGCTGCCTATAACAGCTGTCAATAGTGTTATTAGAAAAAAATGACAAATTTCTTTTGAAACTGTTACAATTCAATTTAATGTAAGTGATCAAGTGTTTCTAGATACTACTGATGAAAAAAGAGGAAACATTTTCTTTTTCAACTTATAAGAGAAAGAAAAAAGCTAAGCAAGAATTGCGATTAGAAAAAGAAATCTTAAAATTGGAACAGAACTTGACTCAATAATCTACTAAAAACTAGAAAATAAACGTGAAGAATTGGAGAACATGAGAAAATCCAAATGTAGGGGTCAATGTATTTAATCAACCGTAAATGGATAAGAGAAGGAGAAGAAAATCTTCAAAATATATTATAAGTCTTGAGTCTAGTAACTATCAGAGTAAAGTTACACCTAAAATTATCTTGATGAATTTGATATTTTGAACGAAGTTATGATGTTCTATGAAAATGATTATTAAAGTAGGGAGAATATGGAATCTGCAAGCATTCATGACAATTAAGAATATACGATTCCCTTATTTAAATTAAAAAGAATCAGAAAGTCTTGAAGATCCATCGACCAATTCTAAAGTTTTTAATTATGTGAAAAATATGAAATTTGACAAAGTCTCAGACAAGATGGATTTAACTTTAAATTTTTCAAATTCTTTTGGCAGGATATAGGTGCCTTCATTACAGGAGTAATAAATAACTCATATAATTTATCATATTTTACTGAATATAATAAGTAAGTTTAAACAATATTTAATTTGCAAATGACATGCAAAAAATACAGGCAAGTATTAAAAAGAATAAAGGATTCGGAAACAAAATTAAAAAAAACTTGTTCCAGCCCGTTTCCTTATTTTTTATGATTCAGATGACAGACCCTTTTTAGATAGTTACAAAAAAGCGATCAAGCGATCAGTAAACTTAATTGATATTAATTGTTTCCAACATACCAGGACACGTCAAGGCACTATTTGCTGCTAAAAAGCAATTCTAGAGCTAGAGACACATACTCGTAATGAGAGAACCGATGCTATAGTAATTTAAGCTAGTTCATATCAACTGTTTGATCAATAACAATAATTTCCTTATATTTACAACACTTCTCCATTTGAACTAGTTTTCAAATAATTGACCATATATCAGGCTGTATCCAGATCTAGATTTCTTTGTAACTTGAAACTCTACGTGACTGAAGAACAATTAACATTGAAAACCGTATTCATAATGCTATATCTACAAGACTATTTTCATATTTGTCCAAATCATTGTCGTAATTGTTAAATCACAATTCGTAATTCAATACTGTGTTACTAAACGACAGAAAATTTTACCTACATGTATCTATAAAGCTAAATATACTTATCCAGCCTAAATGCGCATTAACTGTGAAAGCGAAAGCAATTAAATTCAACAAGGACATATAATATTCTATAAGAGAACTAAAATTTCTTTACAACTTTAAATATCCATTGAAATTATTTTGGTAAAATATCAAAAAATTACAATACATTCTAACATTAACAAAAGTAAAATTACAAACTTATATATCATAAATTGCTTCTTTATAAAATGAACCTTATTTGCAGTTATCACAGAATCTCGATGAAAAGAAGAGCTGAATTGCTATTGGTTAAAATCCTATTAGAACAATAATCCGGGAAGAAATTTCAAATATGCAACAATTCTTTAAAATTTGGAAAATATATTTCATGTTTTATTTAAATAGCAAGATGGCGAGAAAACAGATTGTTTTTCACCTTCTAGTCTCTCTTTGGAACTTTGTCTCTATTCAAGGGTAAGATTTACTGTAAAGGTGATATCAAAAAGGAAAACTAAATAATGGACACTTTGTTTTAAAATAATTTAGAAAAATAAAATTATAACTCTAGGCAGCTTTTTAATTTTTTTTAAATATAGTGAAGATATATTTTGCTATATAAGTAATTTTCAGTGGTATTGGTTCGTTTTGCTCAAATCATTTGTTAAAGGTTTCAAAAACATAAAATTATAATAATTATTCTTTTTTCTGAAAGAATTTTTTAAAGTGCACCCAAAAAGTATTTTAGTTTCGTTAAATCTGAATACCCTTTTCTGATTACAGGAGCCACGTAATGTCGGAGATTCATTATGTAAAAACATACTACACCTACTCATGTGGTTGGTGGAGCAGATGTGGAGCTTACACGTAAATAAACATTTCCATTTTTATGTGTTTTCTCTGTGATAACTATTTAAAAGTAAGTGGGGTTGATTTCTTATTAATTCTGCAGGAATGTAAATTAGGCAAATGGATGGGCCAGGGGCAAAGAGACCTTATATGCATGTAAATCTCGTGCGCGTCTGTCTTTCTTTCTGACACAAAGGAGGCCTAATATGCATATGTATAATCTCGTGCGGCTTTCTTTGTGTTTGATGTCAGTGGACAATGAATACTGAATTTGACATAGGAGGCATCGTGGAATTTGAATCTATTAGTCTACATTTTTGAAATATAAATTTCAATAATTTATTTCACAATGACATTGAAATATAAGGAAATACTGTCTAGTTAGTATAGTATACCAGAGACATCAACGGGATATTTTATGTTAGACAGTGACTCCTAAATGAATATATTCTTCAGTATCAGAAAAACGGAATGCGATAAATAGAAAACCATATGTAAACTAACTTTTAATTATAAAAAATTGGTCTTATTGGCGTGATGGAAAAATTCGATACTTGATTTTCTCTTCAAACAATGTGTCTTGACCAAGAAAATTGATGTACTATCTCACCATTAAATTGTGCAAGTGAAATATGTGTTACAAGATAAAGACTGTTGACACATTAAATAGTGTTGGACGAAATAAAAATTATTTTTAAAGTAAATTAAATTATATGCAGAATCAAAAGTAACTATCGTTTACCGTACTTAACGAATATAATAAAGCGCAAAACGAACGGTTATTTTTGCAAAACGCTCAATAATACACGAAAAGCAAAAAAGTATATAATACGCAACAAATGATTTGGTATGCACAACTAACGGTGGCATTTGCAAACAAACACACAGACCCTCAATCACACACACACAAAGATAATGATGGGTTTCTCACCAAATAGACAATCACAAAAATCAACACACATAAAGCTGAAATTAACAAACATCAACGCGTGATCATGGTTAATTTTAATTTTTCTTTTTTGGTATATTTGTTTTACATAAGATCGGTTGATTTTGCATAAAATTTGATGTCACTGAGATTACAATAACTGTTTGTTGTCGTTTATATAACATTTTTGCCCTCATGGCATTTTAAGACTAAAAATATTGAATATAAATTATATATATTCTAAATTAACATCTTAGAAAAAGTTTTTTTTTTCTTTTTTTTTTTTTGCATAATAAATTGAAAAAAAATATAAAAAATACGGACAAAAATTGATCTCAGGATAAATTTTCTTTTAATTATTTTTTTTTCAAGTAAATATATTGATGAAACTAAAATGAAATCATCCTCATTTATGGCCTTAATAAACACTGTTTTCCATTCTTTTCTTAAGCCGTTTGTTAACGTTTATTAATTCTTCTGAAATCATTAATTATATATTATTTTGTGTCTGAATCATTTTCACTTTGCTAACAAAAAGTGATTTTAAAAAAAATCAAAGAAAGAAATGGAAAAAATTTACAAAACACCGAGAGTACGATTATTTTCCGGAAATTATTTTATACTAGACTAGATAAAAATGCTAACGAACCACTAAAGAATATTACTTTTTTATTTTTCAAAACTTTTGTAAGATGTATTTGATATATAAATGAAACATATGGAGATAACAAAGAGTATTTAAGATCAAAAGTCCATAACAATAAAATGGAGCAGAGCAAACACGGATCTTCAAAATATCAGAGGTGGGATCAGGTGCCATGGAGGAGTGAGCATCCCCTGCCTACCGGTTACTCCCGCCGTGTGCTCCTTGTCATGAGAGGGAATTAACGGAAACATCCGTCGTCAATTCAGTGTACAAATAAATAACTAACGAACAGTATAAAAACATAAGTTAGCAATTGACTCAGTGATAAATTGTATTTGCTGACAATGTCATTGTATTAAACAAAGAACTTACGAAATGGTGACTTTAAACGAGACTGATGAAATTCTTGTTTTATCAACTTGTTTGTCAATAATTTACCTCGTTTATGAAACTGTTTCTACGTAGAGCATGTTCTTGCTTATCGAATCAACTGAGGTATTTAAACTCCGTATGCAGGTGATGAAAGTAAATTGCTGGATAAGTAAGATAAGTTGAAGATAGAAAGTTAGTCATCACGTTTATCAGAAAGCTTGGTTTTTAGATTGCCATGAACGTCTTTACTTAAAAAATATCCAAATTTAAAACAGATGTGTCACACTTTGTGGTATCTTTTATCTCAAGCACACCAGGATATATCGTATCGACATAAGAATGAAAAATACCATCGTTAATTGACAATACGTAGAGGTTGGATCAAGTGCCATGGAGGAATGAGCATCCCCTGTCGAACGGTCACACCCGCCGTGTGCTCCTTGTTATGATCGGGAAATAACAGAAAAATCCGTTGTAACTTAAGTATATAAATAACTAACCAACGATCAGTATAAGAACATCAGTCAGCATTTGACACAATGATAAATTGTATTTGCTGACAAGTTCATTGTATCGACCATAGAACTTGCGAAATGATGACTTTAAACTCTTTATCAACTTGTTAGTCAATAATTTATCTCGTTTAAGAAGTTTATCCTACGTAGAACATGCTCTTACGTATCGAATCAAATGAGGTAAATAATCTCCGTATGCAGGTGATGAAGGTAAATTGCTGCATAAGTAAGGGGATTGACGATAGAAAAGTTAAAGTCATCTAAATGTCGAGTCGAAGTCCACAACAAGTTTTTTTCCTTTTACGCAGAAATTCTGCTTTGTATGAATACAAAAATAGGTCTGCTAATAACGGGGCGCAATTGGTACCCATGGGAATTCCAATAGATTATTGGAAGACCTGGTCTCCAAAAACCATATACATGTAGATATTGTCATTCAGGAACTCATGTCAATTACCAATGACAAGGTATGTAAATTTACAAGTTCCATTTTTATTGAAAAAGCAGCTGTCAATGATAGAAAAAAGGTCTGGACTTTAATCTATCACGAGGAATGATTGTGTGTAAAGTTGAAAGGTCTTAAATTTTTAAGCTTTTGATATTGGTTAAATCTTGTGATTTCAAATTGTCCAAAAGTTCTTTGGAAATTTTAAGTATCCACATCTGACTTACACCACTTCTTGAATATATTTTTGCACAATACTCTTGAAGTTTCTCCTTCATTACTGTCAATATCTTAGTGAGGTTATAGAAAGAGGCTTGATTGAACATTAACTGGAACCCGCTTTGTTTCTTTGTTTATAAGGATTCTTATGAAGTATCGGAATCCAATATATATATATGTATGGTATAAATTCATTTTGGTTTTTTGGGATGTTACCAAAGTGTAAAAAAGACATTTAAATAACCATGAAAATCGAACGTGTGTGGCGTTGGCCATAGAAGACATTGCTAAAGAAGTCAGTTTGGTGTCTGCAAGTTTGTTTCTTTGGAGAAATATTTAAAAATTAAAAGAATTAAAAGAATTTTCGTTGTTCTGGTGAAAAATTGTTGCAGAGAGATTAACAAACATAAAAATGATTTTCTATTACATTGTAATAGCCATAACATTAATTGGTCATCAAACGACAAGATTGTTCCTAAAATTGTGGGAACCATGCATGGACTGGGTTTGCACACCAAGGCACTGGGTGACTACTTGGTGATAAGATAGTTAATCATTATTTATTAATAGGTCCGTGTTTTATTATTCAACTCATTCACTATAATACAGAATTCTCGTTAAAAAAATCTACCTGTCAATTATTATTTTAAAAAATGTGATGCTATATCAACGTTTGATGTCCTTTCTGTAAACTTCAAGCTGAATACATTACGTCAGTAATTTTGTTGAGTGTTTGTTGAAGACCCTCTTTTTGAAAAAAGTAAATTCATATGTTTATTAGGTAAGTAAAATACGTTACCTATTTACACTAAAACTGTGCTTACAAAAAAAAATAATTCCCTCTGGAAAGCTTTTTACATAAAAAAAACTTCCCTCTAAATATATTACAAACTTAAAAAATCTTCCCTACAATGACACTCGGCTTTTATTAAATAACTTATGCAATATCTTATTTTTTGTTGTTAGTCTATAAGCCTACCATTATTCCCAATGACGCAGGGCTGGAAATAACAATATAGATGTTTTGTTGTTAGTTTTTTTCAGTGTTATGAATTCCACATTCAAATTTATTTGAATGTTTACAACGAGAGATACCAGATCAAAAAACCAATATTATTTTCAAGCTAAATTGTCACAAAACATCCTTGAGTAAACAACATTAACTTTTTCCTTTTAGATGGAATGTCATACCACCCCATTTTCTCTTAAAGTAAATAAAAATATACTTATACAATTTTTGTGATATTGCAAACATTCATATCTGATTTATAGTTTCAGTTGTTGCAAAGGCAAAACATTACATTTTATATTATTCTGTATACATTTTATTTCTTTGAACAAAAGGGGGGTATTATTTTTGTGAAATTTTTCAGTTATATAACAAAGAAATTAAGACCTATCTTTTGCGCGGATACGTAAAAATATACTCATAGAGTAAATATTATATAGATTATGTTTGAATTCTTATTTTTTTTCATCATGGAAATGAGATAAGGTTTCTTCTTCCTTTTCTTATTTACACATTTCTTTATTTTTATAGTGATTTAGTGCTTGATCACTGTTAGTTTTTCTTTTCAAATATATTCTTTATTTTATATAATCTATATACCCTAGTTCCCAAGGGATGAAAAAATTGGTTGATTTCATTATGCCTTCATGCAAGTATTGAAAATCGTTGTAATATTTTTCATATTTCCTGCCACAGTAGACAAAAAATGGAACAAAAATAGATAATTTGATATTTTATAATTTTAATTTGATGCAGTGTATATTCTATTTTTGAGATTTCAATGATTTATACACTGTCAGTTTCTCTATTTTATTTTCAGCTCTCGTACAGCGATTAGATACAAATGTGCCAGCGGATGGACCACTTCTAATAACCAAAGATGTTCATATGGTAATTTAGTTTTTGTTCTGAAGTATAATTAGTACATAAGTAAAATCTTAAAACGCGGAAGGAATGACTACCTGATTCTGTTTTAAGATTCATATCCATTTTCTTCCATTTGTGAATAATTTAACAATTCAAAAAATAAAATATTTTAAGCTGCCATACCATTTGATTGGCGACAATATTGTTTATGGAATATATACGAGGCTTGTCCCGTAAAATCGTGGACAAGTTGTCTAGTTTGAAAAATAATCATCACTGCATTCTGAAAGTTTCACTTCTCTTTAGTACATATATTATAAATATACATAGCAAATTTCAAATAGATATATGCATAAATAAACAAATTGTGATATTTTATGTTATGTACTGTAGCGCCCTACGGCGCACGGATGATAACGTCGACGTGTCTAAAACAGCGTCACGCTTCATGTTTGCTCAAATAAAGTTGGATAAGCCCCACTTAAATTTAGAAATTTTATTGATTTACATAAGTGAGTGTTTATTACCAGTTAAGGAACCAAAGTGGCACACTCATGCGATCTTTTGAATATTTATAAGCAAGTAACGGACAGTATTCTCACAAACAGTCAACTAAATTAGAATCTCATATCGACGCTCGACAGTGACAGCAGCGTCTTTTACTATTACAATGGCAGTCTGTCCGCATGTTTTGTACTATCTGGGGACTCAATCAAGAAGACTTCGCTAAGAAAACGTCCATTTTATTTGTATACTAAAAATCTGGTGATATTTTCCATGTTTTCGTTCTTCCGTATTCATTTAAAATCTTTTAAAGTGTCATTAGAACATCCTAATCTAACTGAACTGCTCTCCGGTGCCCTGTAACGTCATGAAACGTCGCCATTTTTCGTGTATTGTGTATGTATATACAATTTTTCCATTTTGAATGCTCGGAAAACAGCCAAATTTAACCAAATGCCTTGAAATTTTCAAAAAGACGACAGAATTGATGAAGGAATCGAATTAGGATAATTCTTATCCTAATCTTATGTATTGAAAACTTTTATTACGAATTAATACCAATCGGCAATCCTCGGCTGACTCCGCTTCGCTCCATTCAAACACAGATCCTTACATTTCTCCGCCGGAAACTGCCTTGTCACTCATTTCATATTTCGCTCTGCCTAAAGTTCTTTGAAAAGGTTTCTTTATTAGTGTAATTCCTCGTGTTAATTACAACCAAATGTTAGTATTCTTTGAAAGCAAGAACAGAGTGTTGGGCGTGCATCAAAGTAACTCGGATTTCAAAAGTATAATATTTGAATGAAATTCAAATAAGATCACATGACTGAATCAGCAAGATGGATGATCACCGTTGACGTCCGAGGTTATGTGCGAGATACGAGTCATCCGAGGAACTCCGATTGAATTAATACTTGTATATTCTCTAATACAACCTTGTTATTTTTACCGTGCGCCGTAGGACCGTACCTTTGTACCTTCAAGCAGAATAAAATCTTTATTTTTGTTTATATATTATCAAAAACATTATGATACACTTAAATATGATGAATAAACATCTACTGAAAATTTCAGCTAAGTGCGCCCATTACTTTTCGAGAAAAACGCTTTGTCCACGATTTTACGGGACAACCCTCGTATTTAAGAAATAAAGTCCGCGTTTTCGTGAATGTTGAAGAATAACCTCCTCGGTCTCGAAATGTTGTTTGAAAGATAAAAGCCGAGGCCGAGGCTTTTATATTTCAAACAACATTTCGAGACCGAGGAGGTTATTCTGCATCATTCACGGCAACAAGGACTTTATTTCTATTCTACCAAGTATGGTACAAACGCTAAATTAGGGATAATCGTTTCCTCTATAGAGAAACGAATTAGGTCACCATGTCTCGATTACGCTGTTTTAAATTACAAATATGTTCGTAATATGTATTGATCAGTTAAAAAGAATATACAATAACAAAATCATGTTCCTGTTTTACTGCTAAAATCACGTTATGTAATGTGTAGGGAGGTCCGTGGAATAGCCCCGCTTAGCTCTAAAAACCGACATTCATCAGAAACTTGATGCAATTTACAGTGTTTATACTGCAAAAGACGACACATCGATGCGGTCTAAACAAGTATTTCATTCTACAGCCAAACATGCATTTGAATTGTTAAGATTTGATACGTGTTTCTGATATGAAAATTTTTTGATGACGTTCGTGATTTATTGGAGAATAATGTCCGGTGGTTTCCTTTGATGTTTACGATAATCGTGGTAGAATATAGCATAGGATATACGTGTACCTTATATTAATTCATATCATATTCTTTTTTGTTTACATTAGTTTTATTATTTAACTGAATAATTCGCAGTTCTTGATTGGTTCAATATTTAGCAAAAAAAAAAAAAAAAAAAAAAGCGTTTGCTTACCTGCACGTGACGGTATTTTTTCTTAATTTGTCTTTAAAAAATCTTCCAGATCGAAATACTAAGTTATGATAATTATTTCACCTGTGCCCGACCTTCCAAAGTACAGATAAGTGGCATGATTGCATATCACAAAATAGGACAAGAATATCCAAACAATAAAACTGGTTATAACTATCATTATATCACTTCTCTGTCTGTGCTCGAATAGGTCGTCAAAGAATATAACATAGTTTTCTCTCCATTGCTTACCAAGTTTGTATTATAAAATCTTGTAATAAAACAACTATTGCTGTTTCTGTTCAGTAAACATGATGATGAGACCACCCTCCAAGCATAATATTTCACTTGCCCGTCGTGCCTGGTGAATGTTGAACTCCAAACTACATTATCGATAAGATGGAAAAATTGATATGTTTTGAATACTGTATTAACCTCATGCATAACAATAATTGTTTAATATGATATGATATGATATTATATTAGGTCATATATTATATCGTACTATATTATTATTATATATATAGCAATATGTAATGGAAGGACTACACTTACTGGGGCCTGTAATGAAGCCCAGATGATTTCCACGAAATTTGGATTACAAAGGATAGAATCAGGGGGCCAATGTAGTTCTCCGGATAACTGTATCAACTGCAATAAGTATTATTATAACGATGGGCCAAGATGTACAGGTAACTGTATTTCTAATCTTGATTGGAAGTTTAATTCAATCTTTATGTTTTTAAAATAAAAATCAGTAAAAGGGTAAAATTAAAGAATTGTCAAATGTAGATTTTTTTCCCAACAATGGAAAAGAAACGGTTGATATGAGACCGAATTGTGTTGCATCATACTTTTATTGACGCCATCTTTTATTTCTCTTTTACTCAAATGCAATGTAATGTACATTTATAAAAATTTTGATATCAGTTATGACTGCTGTATTACAATCGAAATTTTAATACAGCAATAATCGCGAAGATGAAGAATATTTACACTTGATTAAAAAATAATATTGTAATAAATCAAATTTTAATATTGTCATCACTGAATACCGTTTCCAACAAATGCTAACGATTTAGAAATAAGAGAGTATGATCTTTTGATACTATTGATATGTTCAAATAATTAATGAAATGGAAATTCCATCCATGAAGACTGATTTACAATACAGCTGTTTCAATTTTTCTACAATTTCAGCCTGTCCATCCATTCAACATTGTGTTGAGACGCACTGCGCAGAAACTGCAGCGTCGACAATATGTGCTAACTGTGAAGGAGTAGTAATGGATATGCCCTATTATAGAGCTTACGTCAGAAGTGATGATCAAAAGCAATGTCAGAGTATGCGAAATACATAATTACATTTTGACATATTGATTCTTGAATAATTATTCATTTGATCCGCTCCATGGAATATGTATGTTTCAGAATAAAAAAAGTTTTATTTTCCTTAAAAGAGGCTACATTTCACGAAAAATATTACTTTAAATTTATTGACGCCTAAAAATTATAATGTATCCTAGAGGCTTGTTCATGGCAGCCAGACAGCACAAGATGTTTCCCAGGTTATTGTGATGGAGAACTCGCTGATAGATGCAACTGCACTAGAGGATTTACTGGAAAGCATTGTGAACAAAGTAGTTAAATTTTGCAAAGCCACTGGCTCTGAAAATATGTTAAAATAAAATGTAAAATACTAAGTAAATGTTAACAGCAACATTCTCTTAATTCGTACTTGCATTGGTTACGTTCCAAATTTTTTTCTTGCAAAGATAAACTATTATTCAAAAAACTTATTAAATGCATATATTCAATATTAAAATGCAAGTATATTGCAGCTCTTTATATGTCTGCATGTGTGTAATATCTCTTTTCTATTTTTTTTTTACAGTGACAGAATATGCTGATATTCTCGACAACCTCTTCAAGCTAAAACACAACCATCATGTGTTGACTAATCCGTCACATTCAGTAGACCCTGGACCCCATCCAGTGGTTTGGTCTAACTATAGAGACTGGAATCTTGCAGAAACAGTGTGGACTGCAAAATACGTAATAAAAGAGAGACTGCATATGGATGAACATCATTATATCACACAGTTTGTTTATGGCATTGTACATGCCTCCACTACTTTGAATTATACATATACTGTTTTGGATCCCTTGATTACCGTAATAAATGAAACAGACACAACGGATCAATCGAATTCATCAGTGGAACAAGTCTCCAACATCACTTATAGTAATATGCAAATGATTAAGACAGCTATTGCTAATCATATTTCATTTTGCTTTTTGCTACTGCAATAACTCTGCGTTATAAAGCAGACTAAACTTATTTGATATATTGTAGTTCAAAGAGCGTCTCAAATCATTGATGTATACAACTGCTCCGAAGCATCAATTTCGAATCCAGCAACGTCTTCTTTTCAATGCAAAACAAATTTCTCTTTGGAATCTGGATCGAAACCTTTCAACTTCAGCACTGGAGATACGTAAGAACTCTACATTTTATAGTATTGTGCGTTTCTGCGACAAAATTTTATCCATCATTTTACTATCAATATACATGTAATTTTATCATTTCTAGAATGACATTCACTATACAGGCTACAATTGGAGGATATCTTGTTATGGAAAATCGAGAACAAATTATCAGTGAAACCCATTACCTGGTGGGAACAACGAAAACTTTACAGTATGTTTTTCGTTGGGATTTTGTCACCCCTTACCATTGTTTGGAAAATATGACAATAACTGATGACTGTAGAGATCCACTCGTCGCACCCGACCTGACAGAAAGTGTAAGAACTGTTGTTGAAAATGTTTGTTTTACGTCGGTACTTTTGTTCTTTGAAAAACTGAACTATTTACTTTCAATTCATATACTTGTTTATAAAAGAAACCCTTTGTACGAATATTCATCTTATGAAAAAAAAGATTTTCTGTTTTAGCGGGAAAATTTTTGAGAGCTTATTTGTTAAAGTACAGCTGAGGGTGGCTTAAAATTAAGAAATTTAATTTATTGTTAAATTTAGCCCACAATTTCAATAAGCTGGGAAGGTTGGTATGATGACCTGTCAGGGATGAAGGAATATCAGTACGAAATACAGACCCTATCAAGTAGAAATGATATATTGCAAGAGGACGGATTTCCCGTAAATAACGGAACTGGCATCATTTACCTTAATGAATCATTAGTAAGACTTTAAATCCTTTTTGCGCGAAATTGGGAAGTACTATTAATGTGCTTTTCCTGTCTGAAATACTTTTTAAATAAAAATCATACCTTTTTCCAGAAAACATTAAGATTACCAGGATCTGCTGGACTATTCTCTATTCATCTGACAGCTCATGACAACGCTGGAAACTATAAAACGGCAAGGCGTTTTGTTCTGTACGATAGTGACTCTCGTGTCTCCTACAACCCTCTCTACGTAACCCGTGTCCAAAGCGCATCAAAAAATACAAACTACACGTGGGTTGTTGATGATACAAAGATTGTTAATGTTCAGTGGACAAAGAGATTTCGGAATATTCTGCATGACCATAACAAATGGCTTAATGAAATTTCACCGAGTTATGGAATTACGAAGGGTTATGATGATTACTCTGGACCTCGATCCGTCAATAAAGTCAATAATGTTTATGGTACGTTTAGATATTCGATTTTTAGTTTATTTAACACTAATAACTGTATTTGATAATGCTTCTGTAGCACGTCTTCTTACAGGATGTGTTGGTTTTAAAACAGAATACTCTGTTTTTGATGGAGAAAGCTTAAAAGATTCAAGACCTTTAGCTTCAGTGAACAATATATCCACAGAATCTGATTTAATAACAATGAATTGGTCTGATGGTGACAAGGCAGTCATTATAGTTGTTGCTGTAGACATTTTTAACAAAACGTTGAATGATACTGTCACAGTTTACCGGGATGCCTCGCCCCCGGTTATAGAGAACCTGTGGTTAACTCGAGGGGACATGTTAAACGTTAGCGTGCACAGCTTGGAGGATTTCAGAAACATGACGTAAGAAATAGTTGTTTTTGCAAAATATGTTCAATTGCTATTTATCTGCCACCTCTTCAAATATTGTAAATAATACCCGCAACCAATGCAGTAAAAGAAGATGCTTTTCTAGGAATGTGAAATCCAATCATCTTCGCCACCTTTTTGAAATCAAGTCCCGGTATCACGGAACATTCTGAAATTGACGTCAAAATTTCAATCAAACGTAAAATGCGTATTATTTGTGAATTGACACCCTTAATTTACAGTCAATCATAGTTTGGCGATGAAATGTGGAATTGCACTGTAAAGGACCATTTTATTTTAAAATATGTTGTTATTATGCAAGACACTTATTTTGACTAAAGCTTTTAAGCTGTTTCGTGTTGGTAGGGCTTGATAGACTCAATATTAAATACACCAGTATATGCTTTTCGGTGTGTTTCATTTATAATTTATTCATCTGATTGTTTCAGAATTGAATGGTTGGCATATGACTACCACAGTGGCATAGATTCTATTTACTGGAGATTGTATGATAATTTTACCGGAGAAATCATTCTTCATGGCCACGAAGAAATGTTTGCCCAAGGATCCTCTCAGGTATGAGCACACAATGCAAAAATTCTTTTGTCTACATTGTGCTGCTAAACAATTCTGAAAGAACAAATTGTGCATTTCAAGGGTGTCGATCTATTCTTTAGATTTACATTGTTTCAAAACGAATGAAAGCATCAGAGAAATAAATTACATAAGTAATCTTACAGCTCAAGCATAAATCGACCTTTCATCTAGTTTTGTTTAACATAATGTGTACAAAAAATTTTGGTTTTCTATTCATGTTAAAACTTTATTGGAAAAATTCAAAACATATACATTTTTCAACTGCAAGAGTATAAAAAATTGAGCTTATTTCCTAACAGGACCTCGCAGAATGCATTCAAAAATATGGCAATTATAGCAGAGGGCCCAAATGTTACCAAACGAACTACTGGGGAGCTTATCATCAACATTTTCAAGTAAAACCTGACGTAAAGAAAAATGGTGGACTCATACCTGGAAAAGAGATTGCTGCACATGATTCTGATTATTTCATAGAGATTAATGCAACAAACAAAGCTTTGTTGTCAACAATCCTAACGAAAAAGGTATAAATGAGTAGGGATTGGAATGTAATTCAAAGCTCAAAAAATAATTATGTCAAATTTAATTAACGTTTAAAATACTTTTTTATCATTCAAAGGAAACAGTTAAACACTTAAATTAAAAGGTTTGGAAGAGTTTTGCTTAGAATTTCAAAAAAAATGTATGCAATTAAATTTTGCCTAAAAACAATTTTCGTCAGATAACAATTGATGTTTCACCTCCGCAAACCGGAACTGTTCAAGACGGTATCAGAGGAACAAATGAGGTGGATTTCCAACAAAGTAAGACGCTGAACGCTCACTGGGACGGATTCTTTGACAAAGAGAGTGGTGTCATGTTCTACATGTATGGCTTTGACAAGAAACCAATACCTGCAAATGCTTTTCAATTGGATTCCAGTAACCTTCTTGTAGGTTGTATTTCAAATTTCAAAGTTTGGACGATGCTGTTTAAAAGTATAATGTGTACATATTCATGCATTTGTTTACTTTGTGGGAAAAATGACAACCAATGTTGATTACAGTTGAAAGAAACATATGCCACGTATGCAACTCACACGGTCTCCACTGAGGGGACGTATTACATTTGTGTTGTCGCCTACAATCGAGCTCTAGAACCTTCTAAACCGGTCTGTTCTGACGGCGTCACAGTGACTACAGCGGTACCAAGTGTGTCAGAGGTAGATATAACCAATGCTTACGTCAGGGAAGGTTTGGTTACAGACATACGGAAAACAACATATTGGATAGTCAATAAAAACAGACAAAGAAGATTAGTCGCTAATCCAACAGAAGACTGTTTGTAAGTTAGTTCAATTTTCTATGTCCTTTCTTGGGAAACAGTTTTGAAATAAATTGTAATTTAAAATACTTTGGTTACCAGGAGAAAGGCTGTGCCATTATCTGACGTGGACATTTTCCCAGTTGAAAAATTCAAAAATGGTTCATATGTTAAAGTGAATGGATCAGTTATTTGCACAAACACTTCAACGGCGCCCGGAATAACGAACCCTGTATTGTCTAAATCAGCACATGTATGTATTCAAAAACATATTCATATGTCAAAAAGTGTAAATATAGAAGTCTAAATAAGTGCTATTCAGTTGCATTGCACATGTGCCAATATTACGTACAGAATTAGACGTAACTTTTTCTTCTTATCATTTTCCTTTTTGAGAAGTCTATATAAATTTGATAATTTAACAACGATCCTACGAAAGGAAATTAAAACTATAGATATTTTTACCCTACGCCATGAACTCGGCTCTTGTTTGACAGAAACATTTCATTGTTATGTAGATCATCCTTTCCTGGTATGCCAATGAAACAAGCATCCATGATTATGAGGTTGGCTTATCCACAGTAGCTGGAAGCACAGCACCTGATTTACTTCCTTTTAGGTCTACACAACAACATCGCCGTATTCACCTGATGCACACTGACATACCGGAAAGGGAACCTTTTTACCTCATTATAAAGACTATCAGCAGGTCCAATGTTGAGGGCATACAAGTAAACATCTATGTTTTATGACCGTTTGATCAATAATCGATGTTCAGTATTCTATAGCAAAACACGAGCTTTTGAGATCCAAAAGTACCTTTATTTCACTTGTCTTGCCTTTTGTTGTGTGGTTTATGAAATTTTCTCAAATATTTTTGTACTTTTAGCCTGAACCACTTGGTTATATTTTAACAAAGGTGTTACTGTGGTTTCATCATCATTCATTGAGCACCAATTTTCGAGGATTTCGTTGTTTAGCAAATCCACGAATTCAAATGTTCATTGTATTAAGAAATATGATATCCTTCGTATAGGCAATGCTTTTGTCCACGAAATTACGTGTCCTCGCAAAAGTCTGTTTTACAAAATCCACAAAAATTGATGCCAACGAAATTGATGAAACCACAGTATAATATCTTTGTGAGTAAAATGTTTACAGTTTGCTCCCAATTGAGGGTCAGGTATTTTTTCAAAGATTAATAGAAAAATAAGAAATAATGTGCCAAGGAGGAAAAATAAAAAATTCGAGGTAAAGATTTCGTTTCATTAGTCTATAGGGCCGTGTTCCGTTGATATAACGCCGCCAGTGTTCTTTCCACCAATAAAAGTCAACTATCATAATGGACATCTTATAGCTGTTTGGAATTCAAGCAGTTTTACAGATGCGGAGGATCCTTTTCCTCTTTCTGTTCAATGTGCTGTCGGTAAGTCGCCTTTAAAAGCACTTGCAATCCACAATACCATGAATACCGAGTTTAAATTTCTTTAAAATCTAAAAAAAACCTTTTTAACATCTTGCAGGCCATATTCCCAGGGGCACACAGATTCAGAATTATTCACCACTACAGGCAGGTGATGGCTGTATTTTGACAGAACCACCAACATGTACTGCTATCCCAATTAATGACACTGAGTGGAAACTCCATGGTAACCACACGTACTACGTTACAATAAAAGCAGAAAACATTGCTGGTCTATCATCATTTGGTGTCTCGGAACCTTATATTCATAATGTGCAGCTTCCATCAACTGGAATTGTTATGGATATTTTGGTATTTTATTATATGATATCATAATTTCAATTTCTGCAAAAGAGATTCATATATTATTGGGATTTTTACTTCGATGTGTATTAAGTTAGAAAGTTATTAACCCATTGAATGATTATAACATCATGGCCTTTTAAAGCTGACATGAACTCTTAAAAAGGCATTAGTTTTCATCTTTGTACGACTTACTACATTCCTGTACGACCTTGTCCGACATATTTCTTCGATTCCGCCATATTAAAGCTGACATGAATTCTTAAAAAGTCAAATTTTTCATCTATGTACGACTTGTTTCATACCAACCATAGCCGTATTCAGCCATATTTCTTTCAGATACCTTGTCTTATTGTAACGATATATACCCGAATGCCCTCGTTACACTTGAATGATTTTTTGGCTTGGCTATCGACTTGTGCACATCTCCGATGGTAAAACATTTGAAAACACATGGGTTGATCAAGACATTTCAAAACCACACAACATAATAATCATATTTCTGAATAATTATAGATTTGAATCAAATGAAATAAAAAAAGAAAGAAAATGCAAGTTTGAAAGAAAAGATTTAGTTGCACGAGTACGCATTTGTACACTGCGCCAATTTATGCAGAATGAAATAAAAAGCACTAAAACCCGTAAACACACTTTGAAATCATTATCATTTGAATGGAACAAAACAATCAGCGTCTTTGATTTGCAGGTTTTATGCAGACTTTGATGCATGTCGAGAAAACGCGTCGAACGCTATAAACGTACCCATACCTGGTAATAAGATCACTGCATCGGTTGGAAGATGTGCACAAGTCAAGTGATATACACCCTGAATTCCATTTATTGAAATATGCATCACAAAAAAGAAATAAACTCCATAAAAACTCAATAAACACACTGTATCTACTCCGTACAGTCTAGCGCATCGATACACTTAGTCCGTGCTGATCAGATTTTGGTCAGGGAAAATATCACAAGTGGAAAAGAGTGGTATTTGCGCGGCTGAAATGGGGGGGGGGGTCTAAAGTATAATTATAACGGCTTCATGATATAACTGAAAATTGTCTATCTAGTTCTAATAAACATTCTTTATATAGTCTGCAGTTGTTTTTCATCGCAAAATTCATTTGCCAATTACAACTGATTATTTTAGTACTAATCTCAAATCTAAACCAAGTAATTTGATATACGGTAAATATTTAGTTCAAGACTTAAAAACATTTAATCAGAATACAAAAGTTTATGTGTACATCTGTACGTTCTTTAACACACACGCGGAAAAAAAAATCCCCCTTTTAGACTGATATTGAGGCATTTGTATTTTTAAGGGGGGGGGGGGAGAGAAATAATTGACATGGCCGTTACCTAAATATTCTTGGAAGACAGACACTTCTGCCAATTACATTTTTGAAGATTTTTTATTGTCTCACTCCGACCACAGAGTATGAACATTTTTGCGGAATGTGGCTGTTTTATAATTATTACAGGAAGTCTTTCGAGATTTCAGTATCCCTGTCTGACAGTCTAGTTTTTTTTTAAATAAAAATAATTTCTGTTGCAATATTTGGGAGATACTTTTAAAAACTTTGGTAGGGAAACTTGCAACCTGGTGGAATACAGATAATTTTTAATTACTCTTTTATTCATTGAACTCTCTCGCTCTCTCTCCTCCTGTAACCATCTGTAAGCGCAATTACAGATATAAAATCATATGTATTTTGTGCTGTACCATTTATTAGATCTTGCGACAGATCAAAGATTTTTTTTGTCAGGCGGGAATGTCGAAACTTGCTCAAAAATTGAAATAATAATTTTACTTTTGACAAGAAAATAAACCTAAACGCCGAAATTGAAAGGAAAATACATGTAAACGTGAAGTCTACATCATAGGAATGGAAACATTGGGAACTTTCTGAAATATATGTACCTTCTCAGGTAAGGAATCTGGACAAAAATTATTTAGACAAGAGGTATAAAAAAGCTAATTTTTGGTAGAATGTGGAACTCTCATCGGCAGTTTGCTTTCCCTTCCTATATGCTTCGACTATTAATAATTTATATCCAACACAGATATTTCTTGACATGCAAAATACCCCGTAAACTCGCCCAAACTTCAAAAACTATTTCGGGGTGGGGAGTGGGGGGTGGGGTGGGGGTTTAGCCGATGACTTCCAATGCTTCAAACCTTAGACTTTTCATACCAGTTTAACACAAATTCGCGTTTACCAGGGAGTCTGCGTTTTCCGAGGGGGTTCCTACGTAACTTTTTTCTTGCTTTAGTAAATAAATTTAATAACCTTGCTAAACCAGGGGAGGGGGGGGGGTCCTAACCCCCTCTAGATCCGCGCATGGCACTCATGCATAGAATCACAACACAGCCACTTCAATTTATATTGATGGGTAACCTCCAAAATCAGTTGATAAGCAAAAAAAAAAAAACATAAAAAAAACATAAAAAAAAACAAAAAACAAAACAAACACAAACACCAAAAAAAAAAAAAAAAAAAAAAAAAAACCTAGGCACCACACTCTATACAATCCTTTTTGGTAGGGGATAAAGGAGGCTTCCTGTAACTTTTCTGTTCAGTACATTACTTTTGAATGCTTGAATCTGCGTATATTCCTGCAAACAAAAAATGTGGAGGGAGCTTCCAAATCAAAATTTTAATTTATTTAAACTGCAGCAAAGATTATCCTCAGATAAAGTGCCCCCCCCCCCCCTCCATCTGCATACTATGGGAACATTTTAAACCTTTATCTTTACCGAATCGAAATATTTCATGCATACTTCTTAAAGTTAGTTACTTCTGAAAATGGTCCAAAAATGGTAAAAAAAAAAAGTTCGCTGGAATCTTCCTTGCATGTTACTTGTGGGTGGTCGAAGCCCTTAGACAGGGTTACCAAGACAAGATAGAATTTGTCCCCATTGTAATTTAAAAGAACTCAGAGATGAGTTTCATTACATACTAAAGTGCTGCTCGCTACTTTCAGAAAGAATGCTAGGCTTAACAGAAAAAAAGCATAAATTTTCAGAATGTGATTGATTTTAAACACATTATGAATAACAATAAACACTGTTTTCTGAGAAAATTGTGCTCGTTTATAAAGAAAAAAAATAAAACATGCCCCCGCCTAAATTCCCATAGTTCACATTTATAGCAACGTACAATTTTTTTGTTTAGTTTCTTATTCACGCATGCTTTATAGATCTACTGTTATGTATAAAATCACCTATATATTTTTGTGATTTTTGTATACTGTTGTAAAATGGTGAAGAGATTCAAATAGTTGATTGAAAAATGATGGAAGGTACGCGGAGGAAAGCAAATCCGCGAAAATCTACAGATCTAGAGAACTGAAAGGACAGAGATTTTTTTGTTTCTTCAAATTACTCAGTATTCATATTATTAGATGTATAAATATCTATACTCTTAGTCTATATTACAGAAACACACACACTCTCTCTCTCTCTGTATGTGTGTACAAAAATAAAGGCCGGGGGTTCCAATCCCTGGAACCCCACTCCACCTCTGGATCCGCCAATGAATTCTATTTTGATTCTTCATGTACCATAGAATCAAACTCGTTTATTGTGTATAAAATTATGAAAATAAGTTTAAATCAAGTTATATAAGGTCTTTATTTAAAAAAAAAATAAAGCCAATACACATTATTTATAATGAAAATATTTGATTGTAAAAAAAAATCCGATCTTTTTCAGAGAGCGTTATGCATTCCCCCCCCCCCCCTTTCACGGGAGAATCTCGTCAAAGGATGAATGATTCGTAATGTTGCATGCTATAAAATAAATTTAATGTAATTAAGCCATGTCTAAAAATTTTGTTTACAGTTACATATACAGACAAGAGTAATATTTATTTTTGAAAAAAAATGCACTTTTTCAGTCAACCAAAATACCAGTAAGCTTTCCACCTTTGAAATTTCCCCTGACCAAATAGACTATCGTCGTGGACCACGTGTGTCCAAGTGCTATGTGGTGACAATTGTTTACTGTTCAGTTAGCAATGGATTACATGAATTCTGAGATGCATATTTCAATAAAAGTAAAATAGGATATTTCTTTCGACATGTGCACATCCCTGTAACGATAGCAGTATTCAGGTAAATATCTTTATCATTGCGTTCGATGCGTATTCTCGACCTGCATGCGTGCATATCCAAACGGCTTTTGCTGTTTTCCGTGTTATTTTTTCTAAATTGCAGCAAATGCATTCAAAAATAATTTACTTCTCAGTATAGTTCTAGTTTTTGTTAACTTTTAAAACATGTATTTGGTGAGTTTATGGACTTATGACAACTATGCTATCGGAGATGTGTACATGTCGACAGCCAGGCTTGAAAATCACTCGAGTGAAACAAATGCACCAGGCTTTATATAACAGGTACAGGTGGCCAAAAATTTTCAAGTAAATATGGCGGAATCGAAGAAATATGGCGGACAAAGGCGTACAGGAATGTAGTAAGTCGTACAAAGATGAAAAATGATGCCTTTTTAAGAGTTCATGTCAGCTTTAATCGAAGTTTTTTGGCCACCTGTACCTGCTATATATAGCCTTGTAGAATTGTTTTACTTGAGTGATTTTCTAGTCTGGCTGTCGACATGTACACATCTCCGATAGCATAGTTTTTAGAAGTCCATAAACTGACCAATACATGTTTGAAAAGTAAAAATTCAACAAAAAATAGAACTATACCGAGAATTAAATTATTTTTGAATGCATTTGCTGCAATATAAAAAGTACACTAACACGGAATACATTTATGTACAGCAAAATTATGTACAGCAAAAATCCATGCAGGTCGAGAAAACGCGTCAAACGCAATGATAAAACGTTTACCTGAATACTGCTATCGTTACAGGGATGTGCACATGTCGAAAGAATTATCCTATTTTTCTTTTTTGAAAAATGCATCTCAGAAGTCATGTAATCCATTGCTAACTCAACAGTAAAAGATGCTTGGACACACGTGGCCCATGCCGATCATTTTATTTGGTCAGGGAAAATATCAAAGGTTGAAAGCTCAGTGGGGTTGATTGAAATTTTTTTTTTCAAAAATAAACATTACTCTTGTCTATAAATGTAGTAAATATAATTTATGATTACATGGTTTAACTTCATTAAATTTATAATAAAGTATGCATTATTACGAATCATTCACCTTTTGAAGATATTTTCCTGTGATAGGAGGGGGATGGGGTAATAAAACATGCATATTATCACTCTCATAAAAAAAAAATAAGAAAAACGTCCGAAACATATTAATTATTATCCAATAAATACTATGTATAGGCTTTATTAGACCTAATATAATTTGATTTATAATTTTATGCACAATGAAAGAAAAAAGTGAGCAAGTTCACATACCTCACGCTCTGAAATTCCCAGAAAAAAATAAAGGAATCGTAATTTCCTTGTTATATGCTCATCTATACACATTGTGTCCTAAATATCTGCAAAGTTTGACGAAATTGTGTGCAGCGGTTTATGAGGAATTGCGCTGCCAAACTGCTCATCTCTATATTCAAGATATGGCCAAAATCTAAATGTAAAAGTGCGGAAATTCCCGAAAAAATAAAGAATTCGGAATTTTCTGGTGATGTGCAAATCTACACACACATTGTCTCCTATAAATAACTTCAAAGTTCGACAAAACTCTGTGCAGTGGTTTTTGAGAAGTTGCGCTGACCAAAAAAAAAAAGAAAAAAAAAAAAAGAAAAAAAGCAAAAAAAAAAAAAAAAAAGACTGACTAACGGGTCAAAAACACTATACCTCACGCAACTTATTGCGAGGGTATAAATAAACGAGTTTGATTCTGTGGTGCAATGATAATGAAAATAGAATTTAATGTGAATTAAATTTCTAGACATAAATAATTAATGATTATTAGAAAAAGCATATAGGAAGAGATAGCAAACTCACCATGAGAATTCCACATTCTACCTACAATTAGCTTTTTAAAAATTCTCTTGTCTGTTGTCCAGGTCCAGGTTCGACACGTACGTTTGAGAAGGTATTTGAGAAAGTTCCCAATGTTCCCATTACTGTTATGCATATTTCACGTTTATTATATCCCCCGCTTGAAAAGTGGGAGGGTATATATTAATCGTTATGTCCGTGCGTCTTTCTCTTACGCTTTGGGGTACCAATATCTTATCCGCAAATCATCTTGTACCACTTAGTGAAATTTAATGAAACTTTCACAGAATCTTAGGTTTATTACATATTACCATTATGCAACTCCTATTTTACTTTTTCAGGGGTGTAGCAACAGGGGTGCGGGGGGGGGGGGGGGCTGCAACCCACTTTTTCCCGCGACCTAACTTATACTATAATGTTATTGAATTGTTTTTTTTTTTTTGCTTGTCAACTTTTTCAGGTAATTAAAAAAAATTCTCTGACTGGCCACCACTTTCAAATACGATGCTATAGCTACGTGCCTGCTTTTTGATTCGACACATAGTTTGGGTTTAGCGACAACATGAAAAATATTGACTTTGCCATTATAACCATATGGGAGGCGGGGTATCATTTAGTGAGCTCATTGCTCACAATACCTCTAGTTTCTCTTCTAATGGGTTAATTTCTTGTCCAAATTAAAATTATTATTCAATTTATGAAGTTTCGACATCCTGCCTGAAAAAATCCTTGATCAGTTCTAAGGCTTAATAAATGGTACAGTACAAAGTGTGTAGGATCTTATACCTATTATTGCCCTAACGGATGGAAGAGGGAGAAAGAGAGAGAGAGAGAGAGAGAGAGTTCAATACACAAAAGAGTTAAAAAAAATATCCGTATTCAACCAGTGTCAAGTATCCCTACCCTAGCTTATCTCCCAAATACTCCTACAGAAATTATTTTTATACCAAAAAAAATAGGTAGACTATCGGGCAGGGATACTGAAATCTCGAAAGACTTTCTGTAGCAACATAAAACAGTTACATTCCTCAAAATACACATACTTTGTGGTCGGAGTGACACATTTTAAAAAAAATCTCAAAATTGAATTCGGCAGAAATGTCTGTCTTCCAAGAATATTTAAATAACGGTCATGTCAATTATTTTTGCATGCCAGCCCCCCCCCCCCCCGCGCCTGAAAAAATCAAATGCCTATAATTGTCAATCTGAACAGGGGATGGCCTTTCTCCGTGTGTGTGTGTGTGTGTGTGTGTGTGTGTGTGTGTGTGTGTGTGTGTGTGTGTGTGTGTGTGTGTGTGTGTGTGTGTGTGTGTGTGTGTGTGTGTGTGTGTGGGTGTGTGTGTGTGTGTGAGGGTGTGTGTGTGTGTGAGGAAGAGGGTGGGCGAGGGAGGGTGTGTGTGTGTGTGTGTGTTAAAGAAGGTATAGATGTACATAAAAATTTATATTCTGGTTAATTGCTTTTAAGATTTGAAGTAAATAATACCGTACCTCAAATTACTTGGTTTAGATTTGAGATTAGTACTAGAATAATCAGTTATAATTGACAAATAAATTTTGTGACGCAAACCAACTGCAGACTATATACATGACTTTGTATAGAATGTATATTAGAACTACATATAAATAGACAATTCACAATCATAGCTTATGAACAGCAGTTATAATACTTTAACCGCCCCCCCCCCTTTCAGCCGCGCAAAAACCAAATAACTTCTCTTTCCACTTGTGATATTTTCCCTGACCAAAATGTGATCAGCACGGGCTAAGTGTATCGACGTGCTAGTCTGTACGGAGTAATGACAGTTTGTTTACTATTGAGCTTTTATGGAGTTTATTTCTTTTTTGTGATGCATATTTCAATAAATGGGATTCAGGGTGTATATCACTTGACTTGTGCACATCTTCGAACCGATGCAGCAACCTTATTTCCAGGTATGGGTACGTTTGCAGCGTTCGAGGCGTTTTCTCGATATGCATCAATGGCATCTTTAGGACCTGCAAATCAAAGACGTAGGTTGTTTGTTCCATTCAAATTATATAATTTCAAAATGTGTTTGCAGAATTTACTGCTTTTCATTTCAAGTTTATTCTGCATAAATTGGCGCACTGTAAAATACGTACTCATGCATCTAAATTTCTCCTCCAAACTTGCATTCTTTTTTCCTTTTGATTCAATTCAATAATTATTCAGAAATATGATTATTATGTTGTTTGTTGTGGTTTTGAAATGTCTTGATCACATCATGTGTTCTCATATGCTTTACCATCGGAGATGTGCACAAGTCGATACCCAAGCCAAAAAATCATTTAAGTGTAACGACCGCAATGGGGGTATATATCGTGACAATGAGACGATGTATCTGAAAGAAATATGGCGGAATACGGCTATAGTTGGTATGAAACAAGTCGTACATAGATGAAAATATTGCGTTTTTAAGAATTCATGTCAGCTTTAAGTAAGAATAAAAATAGTGTATAGTAAGTTACAATTCTGATTTTCTCATATCTATTTAAAAGAGAAATATCAAATAGCTTTGTTTTCACTTCTAGAATAACACAGAAAATCCTTTTATCGTAAGTATCTAATTGATATTTTTATTGTTGGCATTAATAAATATCATTCATAAAGAATGCTTAAAGCAGCTGGGGACATTGCAATTTTTTGTTTATAAAAAGTACATTAATGTGTTTAAATTTTCGAAACAACAAATAGGAAACACAAGATGCTGATTATACGTCCTCAGAAAATACCCTTTCTGCAAGATGGACAGGATTTTCTCACGCATACCTTGATGTAACGTACAAATTTCAAGTAGGTACATCGACTGGTGCTGCGGACGTTGTTCCACAAAAATATGTCGGGAAGAATAATTCCCATACTGAGCAGGGACTTTCTTTGGAATTTTTCAAGGTAAAGTTTATTTCTTACACTGAAAAGATTTTTTTCTTTTATTGTCTTCCCTCTTAAGATATGTAAATCTTACAGACATACTACATTACCATAACTGCTGTGACGTCTGCTGGAAGCGTTGAGGTGACCTCAGATGGAATAACAGTTGTTCAAGAAAATGCCACTTTGTCTGGCATATCTGTCTTTGATGGAGAACCATGCAATATGTCAGGTATATGAATCTACGATGTATAAATTTTATATCAAATGCATTCCATGTAATAGACCTATATTATCATGATTGTTCATTCTAACTTTTAAGGATCCGCGCCAGTTAAACGAGTTTGTACATTATTTATCTTTTGAAAAAAAAATATTCGAGAGATTTGCTTGCATGCCTGTGCCATCCTTGTGTTATAATGAAACCTATTTACTGAATTTCTTTAACAAATTAGATAATTTATGAAGTAAGATAATTTTGAATATTTCAGAACAAAACACTTCTCAATCTATTCTTCATCACGACTGGGTAAGTTATTGTTTTGTAGATTGTATTTGATTTTATTCCTTGCAGCTAGAAAAATATCGCGGATAACTAATTATAATAATCATTTAATGATCTTGGTGCATATTCTAATTGTTTTTTGTTTACTTTGAATAGGATATAAGCGTGAACTGCACAAACGATACAGACTTTCAGTCTTCCACTGACACTCTAAATGCTTACTGGACAATCTCTAAAGAAACTTTATTCTTCGTCCCAGATACGTATTATTCGATCGAAAGAAAATCTGCGTACAGTGGTAAGTTTTCTGCAAAGTTTGACATAATTCAAATCATAAAAATGTTGAAGACAAACAGATTGATGAAAAGAAGTGTATGTATATGCTGTTGCTATTAAGTATAATACTTTGTGGTATTAAATGATATGATTTCAATTGAAATGTGTCTAATAAAAAGAGAACATAATCATGTATACTTTTAGACGATTGGAGTATCTTTCAAGACTTCACATACAATCACGGGCATATGGAGGCCCATGTAACTGGACTCTCGTTAGAACCTGGCAAAATGTATCGTTTTGTATTGAAACTCTGTGCTGGGAAGATATGTTACTTGCCGACACATAGCAACGGTGTCGTTATACTAGCCAGTCCACCTGAACCTGGTGATATATCATTTGTTCACGAAAATTCCTCTTTAACTGAAGAGGTAAACCTTATCCTTCTAAATACAGCGATATTTATTAAATTGTCGTATACAATTATTAGTATGCTACATTTTTAATTCGAAATCAAAAACTACTAGCTTTTGGACATAAATATGGAATACAGAAAAAAGTTTTTTTTATTCTAAGAAGTCAAGTTTTACAACATCAGTATAAAGTCATTGTGCGATTTGATAAACCTGAAGTATATAAAAAAAAGTTAAATATGACTATTAAAGAGTAACACTTAAAAGTTTACTCCCTTCTAAATTCATATGCGAGGTCAGTACTTTATTTTTTCTTATGAATAATTTATTTTATTCAAAAAAAATCTTTAACCTTCTTTTCATTTTAGCTAAAAGTAACCATGGATATGTTTAGGGATCCAGATATAGAAATACTAACTGAAAAATACAGCGTTATAAAAAGATATGAATGGGCCATAACGGACCAATCGGATACAGGGAGACTGCACACCATTTGGCAGGAACTAACAGAGTTCGAAGTCATACCGGGGAAATACAAAGTATCTTCTTTTAATTTTTTTTCAAATGAATTAAAAGAATACAAATGAATATTAAAAAGATAATTTTGTAATTTTGATAATTTTTATTTGCTTATTTAATTGTTCATTTTTGATTTCTTTTTAAACTTGCATAGAATATTGAATAGTAATTAAACTATGAGAAGTATTTGAAAGACATTATAAATCTGCTTACACACATGTATATATTTAAATACATACCGGGTATTAACGGCAAATGAATAATCTACATTTAGTGAAAATCAAATGATGAAAATAAAATTATCCTATCAACAAAGAAAAACCAGAGCTTATGAGACAATTTACTACATATCTAAATTCAACTATTTCTTGTAGATTAAGTTTACCATAAAACTGTCCGGAAAGTTGGATTTTTCAAAATGTCGTCGATTAACAGTAAGGGGTTATAACAAGGCGGGGCTATCCTCTACCATCTCTGGAGATATCAAAGACTGCAGTAATCCCCTGTTGATCACACCAAAAGTTGTCATTGATGCCGTAGGGACACAGGATCCGAGCAAAGGTTTCATCTTTTACTACTATAATTTTTTACTAAAATATTAAACTTTAATTATTTATTGTTGAAATTTATTTTCGAAATTTGAAAACAGTTTGTTTTGTGATTTGTTTACATTTTGATCGAAAAAGGAGTATTCTCTTCATTCAAGAACTCTTAACTTTTCAGATGGATATGGAGAACCAATTTACATGGAAAGAAATGCTTCATGGCCATACCCTGATATGGACTATACACCAAACAAGAACTACATATCAGCTGTATGGCCTTCCCTTCGATACATTGCATACACCGTGGCCGTTATTAAAGCCTGGAATATTAATATGACGACTATGTATAAACCATCTACTACTCTTGCACTCGCTGATCCCTGTAGTCATCCGGATTCTATCAGATGCGCTGATACCGGTAAGAATTGACCGTTTATTGCAATATTTTCAATTACCTTTATGAGAAATTAATCAAATTTACTTTGTTGTACGTTTTGATAACCATATTTCTCTATTAGATCGCGAATTCATCAATATAAAGTTTAGAGAAGGGGAACTTGAGAATGGTCAGCGTTATATTGTTTGTATTCATACGGAACACACTGAAATACACGAGGGACAATCCAGTAGAGTTCTACCAGAAATAAATGCGTGCAGTGATGGAGTCGTGGTTGATCTCACTCCTCCATCGAAGGGGAGTGTTTGGATTGGAAAACGTGGACAACAATATCAGGTTTAATTAAAATTGCAAAGACAGTAAAAAAAAAATCATTAGTTGTTAATTGTTCCTGAATGGATTTGTTGCTCAAGTTTGGGGTAAAAGAGTGCTTCGTGTAATCAGATAGTTTAGAATTTGACAGGTAGTAGCATTATGTTTTTGACATCTTGTAAGGTCTTTTTAATTGCATTTTCATCTTTCAGATATCAACAACGGACATGTATGTAACCTGGGATTCATTTAAGGATGTTGAAGAAATTCAGACAATCTCTCACTCCTCTGGAGTGCAGAATTACCAACTTGGAATTGGTGTGCTTGATTATTTTATTAACTAAATAAATAAAGATAAAAGGTATTTGTTGTATTTTTTTGTAATTTCTGTTTTCCCATTTGCATAGGAACCTTTATTGGTGGGAATGACATTGTTGCATTCACAGATGTTGGAGTAAGCAATCATAAAGCCTTACATGGTCTATCCCTGCAAAGTGGTCACAAGTATTATGCCACAATAAAAGGTGATATAATAGTAAAATATTATAAGATTTATTTAATTGTCCTTTTTACGTGCAATAACTTTGTTACTCTAGACTTCAAATTTCAGCAACTGATTTTGTCAATCGAACTACTACTCAAACATCGTCACCAATTATTGTTGATACCAGCCCTCCCTCAAAATCTGACAATCCTATCACTTTAACTGGACGACATATTACATCTGTCTCGGAAATAGAAGCATGGTAAAGATATGAATATTAATTTCAAATAACCTGCTAAAAAGTTTCAAATAATAAACTTCAAAAAAGACATTCATTGATGATAAATCATAAATGGTTTTGGAGCTAAATTATTTTCCTTTCAGCATTTAAAAAATATTTACCTAAATATCCTCTATTATGAACAATGAATTTGGAGTTAAATTATTTTCATTTAAGCTTTCTGGAAATAAATATTGAATTGTATAAATGACAGTGAATATGATAAAGACAGGATTATTTTATTTTTTTAATGTACTGGTAAGTTGGAAGAATATATTCAGTGACCCGGAGAGTGGTATAGACTTCTACATGTGGTCTGTTGGTTCCGAGCCCGGGTATTCTGACATCATGGATTACACCCGTGAGGATACTGAATGTGGAGCAAATGATAAAAATTACAGACTTGATATCAAGGAAGGCCACGCATATTATATTAATGTCAAGGTATGTCTAGCAACAGAGATTCAAAGTGAATTTCGTTGTTCTTTCATGCGCCCAGATCGATAGATCCGGGTCGTATATTGCTTTTGTCCTGTCTGTGTCTGTTTGTTTGTTGTCAACTTTAACATTCGCCATAATTTTTGAACCATGAGAGATAGAGACTTCATGTTTGGTATGCATACTTTTAAGCTCTTTTAAATGACACCAAGGTCAATGACCTTGTGACCTTGACTGTGACCTATATGCTGAAAATAGCTTTTCAAATTTTCGCCATAACTTTTGAACCAGAAAAGATAGAGACTTCATATTTAATATGCCACTAATTAAGATCTTTCAAATAACACCAAGATCAATGACCTTGTTACTTTGACTGTGATCTATATGCTAAAATAGCTTTTTCAAACTGCCGCCATAACTTTTGAAGCATAGGAGATAGAGACTTTAAATTTAATATGCCTATTCCACTAACTAAGTTCTTACAAATGACACCAAGGTCTATGACCTTATGACTTTGACTGTGATCTATATGTTAGAAATAGCTTTTTCGAACTTTGTTGCTGCCGGGCGCATAGTGTTTCACAAACACATCTTGTTTAGGCCTTCAATAAAGCCCGCCTTGTGACATCAGCGACCTCTTGGGCCTACACAGTAGACTTTTCCCCTCCTTCAGAAGGTTACGTGCTTGAACTTTCGCCTTCAGGAAACAGTAAATTGGACATCGATTACCAAACTGATATAAACAAATTGATGATATTCTGGGAGGGATTTTATGACCCACATTCTTCAATCAAAGAATTCTTTGTGACTGTTGGAACTTGTCGTCGCTGTGATGACGTCATCAGACGTCAGAGCGTAGGTCTCGTGAAAGGTAAGAAAATCTTTTTTAACGATTGTTGTTTTGACTGTACCTTATTCTTTTAAACTGACCGTAAAGACTGCTTCATGGAATGAAACTTTTAAGATAACGAACAGCGACGTCTCCACCGAAGCCCCAAATCGCTCCTCATCAGCAACCCATCATTAACACCTCTTTCAAGGATTGGCCGATGTATGGCCGAGCATCATCAAGTGTCTGTTGAATCTGAGGTCATCGGGGGTTTGAGTAGTGGGCAACAAACAGTGGCCGATCATCGGTCGATGTTCGACTAAACATTGGCCCATATTCGACCAACGTACGAACAATGTTCACCAATGTAAGAGCGATGTAATGGAGATCGGTCGATTACCCTGGAACATTATTTTATGATTAGCAATGCATCGCTGGGCCTTTGTAAGTCCGGCCGGCAACCACGCCATTTTTATCAAAAAACGCATTGGTTGCCCATCGTATACTCTCCATCGCTGGATAATGTGACTGACGCTTTAAGGACTACTAGGCCGATGAGGACCGATGTTTGGGCATTGCTCACACCACGGATTACCACCGATTACCACCGGTCTAAGTCCACCGGCTGGGAAATGTGACTAAGGCATAAACTGAGGTTCCGTATCGCAGTATGTGCTGTCACGAAAAAGATATCTTTCTGCTTAATAACCATGAGTGCCTGCCGAGCATAGGTCAGTTCTCAGCCGATAAGTGCATGGTTGCGTCTTCAGATGAGTGAAAAATTATCAAGAGTGACGTTAAATAACGAACAAGCAATCAAAACCGTTAGGACGCCCTTAAGTCAATTCGAGAAATACAGAGTAGAACAAGCACAGACCATTAAAAACATCGAAATGGGATCAGGTGCCATGGATAAATAATAAATCCCTGTCGACCGGTCACAAATCCTTGTCATGATCGTGCAAACTAAAATATAATTGACTTTCAATGTGAAAATAATTTCCTAACAAAATATATTTAAAACATAAGTCAACATTCGACTTCATAATATTAAGACGTCTTTTATTAAATGGTATTCTGTCATATATGAAAGTATACACATCCAGCAATACTTTTTCATGTACATCATTGCAGAAATGACGGTGGATTATGTCCACTTTGGTTCGGGTTTAACCTACTACACGTCAGTAACAGCCTGTAACACTGCAGAGTTTTGTACCACAGCTTACTCTGATGGCGTCATCATGGACAATAGTCCTCCAAATGTGGGCGTGGTTACAGATGGGACATCCTCAAACGACAAAGAACACCAGTCAATCAGGTGATTAAATCATTTAAAGTATACACGTACTTATGAAGACACCTTACAAGGAAGGGTAAAGGAACATATTTTGATAAAACCAAATTTTTCACCTGAAAAGTCAATCGTGTAATTATATTATCTTAAAGGTGCATAGACACATATTTGAGGTTAATATTTTCTGTATAATATTACGACTTATATATTGTAATAATATTATAGCATTTAACACGAAAAGATATTAAAAATCTTATTTCATTTAAAAGTTATTGAAGCTTCAAATTTTTGGATGAGTTTGATTGACACATCCTCCACTATCACAAATTTAAATTTCATTCTTAAAATACTTAGGAAAAGTTGCAATCTTGTTGTGTATAAATGAAAACATTAAAACTTTAACCCAGAATAATTATATTCAAAGTAGAAATGTTCGAAAGCAAAACCTCTTCACAAGTATTGTCAGTCCGGGCTTAGTGTTGTGTACAGAGTTTAGCAAATTGAACACACCCGTGAAACGTACACATTTTTTGTAAACAGGGCACGAGCTCTGTTATTGCTAAAGTTTACGATTCACTGGGTGTGTTGAACGTGTTCAATTGTTAAAGTCTGAGCACCACAACTGCACGGGCTGACAATATATTGTCTGTATGTTTTATACTCTGAATTTTCTGGATAATATTTTTAATATTTTTCATTAATACGCAACAAGATCGCAATTTTCCTAAGTATTAAGAATAAAATTAAAATTTGTGAATTTTCAAAGATGTGTCAATCAAACCCATCCAAAAGTTTTGAAGTTTCAATAACTTTTAGATGAAATAAGATTTTTTTTTTATATACAGTGAAACTTCTCCAAACCGGCCCCCTGGAAACCGGTTTTCCCTGAACATCGGCCAAATTTATAAGTCCCGGCAAAATTCTTAACATTTCTTTACACATAAACTCTCATAAAACCGGCCACCCCTGAAAACCGGACACCGGCCACTTTTCCAAGAACAAAAGTTAAGAAACATAGGAAATTTCCCCTCACCATACCGGCCACTTTTTGATTGCAAGAAATTTAACTGTCATTGGCCGGAGGGGTTATAATTACTGGCCGGAGGGGTTATAATTACTGGCCGGAGGTGTGAAAAGAAACCTACCCACGAGAAGTCAGAGGTGTGAAAAACTGAATATGGCCTCAATAGGTTTTCTATTGTTTAGCCGTCTTGAAGGGAGTCATCGTTCCAGACTACCTAAATGGCCGGTCTAAGCTGTGTACATATGATTAACATCAATTAAACTTGAATTAATAAAATATCAAGCAACTAATAAATTTAAATCACAGAATGAATCAACAAATTATTGCACGCCATATTGCATCATCTTTTAAAATATACATAAGCGGCCTTAAAATTGGGCACTGTTTAAACAATATAAAATAAAATGTTTATCAAAACATAAATTTCATAATGAGAATAACAGAAGTTTTGATCAGAAATGTTTTAATTATTTACTTTTAACTGAAGTACAAACAATTTTTTAAATGACGTAAGCTATACACAAATACACATGTAGTACTCTGTATAGACTTCAGTTAAGGTAAAGGACCTGGTTTATTTCTTCGCATATGGTTAATAAAGTAACTTTCCATGTTTTTTCTGTTCTTATTTTTTTAAATTTCTTTTCATAAAAATCAACATGTATGTAGAATTTATCCTCACTAATAATAATTTTCATTTAATCAGACCTTAAGAATACATTTCGTGTCTGCCGATAATTAATAACATGTAGACATTAATTACATATTTTTCCTAGCATCTGTCACATAGTTCTGCATTTCTTCAGTATGTTAGATTCTCGGGAAACCGGCCACCCCTCTAGTCCGGCCGTTTTATTCAGTCCGGCAGCTGACCGGTTTAGAGAAGTTTTACTGTATTTTCAATTGAAATGCTATTTATATAATAGTGTTGTGTTTTGCGTGCACTATTCCTAAATAGTAGTCAGGGTTTGTCACATGGTGCACGAGCCGGAGGCGAGTGCACTATGTGTCAAACCCTGACTACTATTTAGGCATAGTGCACGCAAAACACAACACTATTGTTATTATTATGCTGACTGTTGTTACTGTATAAAAATGGCAATATTTTCTTCATTCCCAATGTTTCATCACCTGTAACATTCGTCTACTCTATTATGACGTCACCTTATGCAACATGTACGCCATAATCTTTTTCTTTTATTTTGAACGTTCCATGCTTTAGGTATAATCTACAGATAGTTTTAGATAATAGTATTTGAGTGAAGGAAGGGGGGTTGCAAGAAAGTATTTCAGAAGAATTATTTTGTTTATTTTTAATTTCAATTACAAAATATTTGAAACTAAGTTTATATATATTATAGTACAATACTATAGATAACGGCGTCTGTGGCGTAATCGGTAGCGCGTCGGACTGACAATTTCAGGGTCGTGAGTTCGCTCCCTGGTATGGGCATTGTCGGATTTTCCTCAAAAATGGAAGCCGTGCACTATTTCAGCATAGTATGCTTACGCTATATAAATCCCTAGAACACTATGCAAGAATAGTAGGGTATGGGTTATATAGAGACAAACTGACAGGAAGCATAATAATACAATATATAAGTCGTGATAATATACAGAAAATTTGAGAAAATATTAACTTCAAATTTTTGTCTATGCACCTTTAAGATGATCATCATAAATGTATTTTTTCGTCGATGATATCCTATTTGTCATTTAGGTTGTTTCTATGAAATATTAAATAAACGCACAATTATTTTCTTTCAATCCTATCTTGTTTGTGCAATGAGTGAACTTAAATTAAATTAATAATTGAAATAATTTGATTAAAAAAAGCATTTAATTGATGTATACGAAATGGAATGGTCAACATTGAAAGGTTATATACTAGTATTATATTTGACAAATTGTCCTTATCTAAAATAATTTTAATGATAAAAAAGAAACCTTCAACATGTTCAATGCATACAATGAAATATATACATCTTTTTCTTTTAATTTTCTCTGATGACAGAAATTGGATTGGTGCCACATGGCATGGTTTTACTGACCCACAGTCTGGGATATCTCATTACGTTTGGTGGGTAGGGACCACGCCGGGGGGTAACGATATTCTTCCGGCAAAAGAAGTCTACTTGGTTGAAGAGGCAACTGCGTATAATTTCTCACAAGAAATACCATTATCAAAGCGTATTTATGTAACAGTTAGAGCTTATAACAAAGCGGGTACGTATGTATACTATATATTTTCGCGCATATATCAATTAGATATTTGTAGTTTAACAGCCCTTGCAAGATTAATCTACCCACATGAGATTTCACTGTATGCAAGAGAAGGGGTTCATAGTAATAACTGTATTCGACGTGCTTTTCTAGGCGTTAAATGTCTCATCCAAATGACTAGAAATGTTCACTTCGAAGTGTTGAAGCACAATAATATTTTATTAATTGCTTTTTCATTTTTATCGGGTGGTATATAGTAGTATTTTTAAAATAAAATGTAACCTGCATGGCTTTTAAAATAATTAGGTTTTCATCTGTTATTTACAAATCAGTCATTTTATCTGTAGGATTATTTGTTGATGGAATATCTAATGGATTTCTTGTTGATGAAACACCTCCTGTAATATCAAATGGGCCTAAACTCACAAATGGTTCCGCATTGGTTGAAAATACACAGATATACAGATCACTTGTAAAGATTGAGTGGACTGTAGCAGATCCAGAGTCACATATTGAAAGGCAGTACCTGTCTCTGAGAGCTCATATTGGTGGTGACTTTAACTTGTCTTCCACCAAGGCAAGAATAAAAGGATCTAAAACATGTTGTAACTATTTTCAAGAACCATATTCTAAGTAGCAATATGCAGGATAATGTTTTTGAATACTCTGTTTACAGGTAAATGGTATTGCACGGGATTTTATTCTAAATGGACTTAAACTGCATGACGGAGTCACATACTTTATCACATTAATATCTTGTAATGAAGCTCATTTGTGTTCTTCGAGTACCTCTCCTGGGATTCAAATGGATAGTACCCCTCCAAGTGAAGGTAATGTCAGATTTATTTTTCTTATATCTTATTTGAATATGACGATTCATTCAATATGATTAAAATCATACTGCTACTATGACATTTCTGCTAGGTACGTTTGCGATACAGACCGACCATGCTGTTGACGTAGAATTGAGTCGCCATGTATCTGGCTTTATGACCTGGTCAGAATGTGAGGTGAACCTTGCGTGGTTGGGATTTTCTGATGCTCACTCGGATATCTCGCACTACTTTGTCAATGTTGGTTCAACTTACATGGGAGACGACCTAAACGCTGTAAGAACCTAATCTTCTCTTTGTGTTTTGTATCAAATTCGTAGGATAATATCAAGATCAGTTCCAATACATGCATTCATCCGTCATATTTGAATTTTAAAAAAGAGAAAATCATTTCAGGTGCCTGGTGTTCCACTGAGAGTTAACCATAGCACAACAGGGGCCGATAAATACGACGAAGGAAGAGTTCAGGCATACAGAATTTCTACTCAGAATCTATCTGCATATGACAAATTATACATATGTTTGTGGGCCGTAAATAAGGTAGGTTTTAGTGTTACATGTATTTTTTCAACAACTACCAAGAAATAATGATACTGTAAAATCAAAAACTTTTTCCCATTTTCAAGGTAGGACTATCGAGCCCTATAATTCACTCAAAATTCAAGAAGTTGCCCGGTGGAGTTCTGTCATTAGTGAGGCGGTGTGAGGCTGAGGAATGTGGAGGACAATGTCTGTGTTCTCCTCAAGACGAAGTTTGCCACCATAATGAGTCCCTCTGTAATGACGTCACAATTGGTAATATGAATTAACTTTTTTCAGAGAATAATGATATTTGTTTAAAAATTTTAAGTTTACTTACCTATGCAATTCAATTTTTATTGCTTTGATATTTATGAGTACTTGTACATGTATCTGTATGAATGTAATTTTTAATGAATTATTGTTTGACATGCAATATCAAAAAAGTTATATTTTTCTTTAGGAAATACCAACAACCTAATACATGTATCCGACCTGACGTTTGGTAAATCAGATTTAAATTTTACACCCAGTAATAATGTGTTGCAAGGTCGTTGGACCATAGTCGATGGACAAGGCAGTCAGCCATTTATGTAAGGCTTCTTCATGTAGATATTGTGACCTATCTATGTGTTGTTAAAGAATGGAAAAATAAAAGATTTTTTTCATATGTAAATAACTATTTACCACCACCTATCTGTTTATAAAAAAAATTGTACAGACTGTAAACTAAAAACATATACACTGTACGTTGATTAAGAAAATGCGTTCATGCAAAGGGGACAAATGGACTTTCAGATGACCATAAAAATTTTCCTTGAATGGATATGTATAATTACCTTTAAAGTTTTGAGAAATCGTCTCATAATCGAAATAGCAAACTAGAATTAAAATATTTTTTCTTCGTCTTCGAATAGCTAGACTTATTTTTCTTTTGACACTAGCATTTTATATGTTACCTCAGATATACCAGAAATTTAGGCCTAAGCATATGACGAACACGTTCTTGTACAGATAAATGATAAATGATTTGTCCTAATATTTTGGTTTCCTTCAGATACCAGTGGAGTGTTGGTATTACAAACCATGAAGTTCCTTTTGGAGTGCTTGATCCACAGAACGATATTGTGTGGAACGATGCAGGACAGAACAAATTTATTACTTATATTACAACTTCAGGTAATGAAATTGAATAAATATTAGGCTTGCGTGTGGCAAAAAATACGGCGCCGCTGGAGGGCCAGGTAAAAAAAATATTTTTATTTGTTCGGACAAATTAGAAATTCGTTCGGACGAATTAGTTATTTGTTCGGACGCATTAGATATTCGTTCAGACGAATTAAAAATTCGTTCGGACGAATTAGATATTCGTTCGGACAAATTAGATATTTGTTCGGAAAAATTAGAAATTCGTTCGGACGAATTAGTTATTTGTTCGGACGAATTAGTTATTTGTTCGGACGAATTAGATATTCGTTCGGACAAATTAGAAATTCGTTCGGACAAGTTAGTTATTTGTACGGACGAATTAGTTATTTGTTCGGACAAATTAGAGAAAATGTGAACAACTGCCAGGACACCGCGATTAATGTGCGATTTGTACGGCGCCGCTGGAGGGCCAAGTAAAAAAATATGTTTATTCGTTCGGACAAATTAGAAATTCGTTCGGACGAAATAGATAATTGTTCGGACAAATTAGAAATTCGTTCGGACGAATTAGTTATTTGTTCGGACGAATTAGAAATTCGTTCGGACAAATAAGTTATTTGTTCGGACAAATTAGATATTTGTTCGGACAAATTAGAAATTCGTTCGGACGAATTAGTTATTTGTTCGGACGAATTAGATATTCGTTCGGACAAATTAGATATTTGTTTGGACAAATTAGAAATTCGTTCGGACGAATTAGTTATTTATTCGGACATATAAGTTATTTGTTCGGACAAATTAGAAATTCGTTCGGACGAATTAGTTATTTGTTCGGACGAATAAGATATTTGTTCGGACAAATTAGAAATTCGTTCGGACGAATTAGTTATTTGTTCGGACAAATTAGAGAAAATGTGAACAACTGTCAGGACACCGCGATTAATGTGCGATTTGCACCAAGACGTTTCATTTTATTTTGATTCTTTGCAAAATAACTTTAATGAACAACATTATCAATAAATATTTTAAAGATAAGTCCTTTTAATGTTGATCTCTTTCTTATAAATTTTATGTACATATTCACTACCCTGCATTTATTAATCATGACATATGAATGATTCTTGAAATACATTTCTGATACATACGTCGCCGATATGTGGCTGAAATATTGCCGATTCGGCGTAAAACATGCAATCAATCAATCTGGTACATATGCGGTGTATAAAATGAAAAAAAAAATCCTCAGTTTTTAATTAAATATTCCTGTTTGTGAATTTTTAGAAAACTTCACAAAAATGAACCTGTTCGTATTGATATCAGGTTGCATAGGCGTAGTCACGGGGGGCAGCGGGGGCACTAGCTCCCCCACTTTCAGATCGGGGGGGGGGGGGCAAGAGTATGCCTGTGCCCACTCCCCACTTTTTAATGAAGAACAAAATCATAGCTATGTTGAAATAATATTAAACCTCATTTATGGCAATTTTTTTATTTGCAACAATTGAGTAAGCATTTCTCTTCAAGTAATTGCTGTATAATATAGTAATGCAATATAGTAAGTAAATCTGTCAAGACCTCTTGTGTTCGCAAGTTTGGGATAGGGAGTGCGGGTCATAAATTTAAGTTTAGACGTTTCTGTTTCACTCAGCATCTGTTATCTAACAAAATTAAATGAGAATCACAAGCTACCCCTTGTGTTGACATCTGAAAGTCATTATTTATTTGCTGCATCCCATTTCTTGTAAAACACAGTCACAAAATAAGTTTTGTCAAACCTCCGGATTTTTAATTATTTAATTTTGCTGATTATTAGCACTCTTTTATTTTTACATATAGGTACTAGATAATTCTAGTCAATCCAAATCTCATCAAAATAAGTAATTTCTATAAGATAGCTGCAGTATTGGAGATTCTGATTTCGGTATACCTGTGATGAATGTCAACCAACTTTAAAAACACTATTTGAAATCCTCTCATTCAACTTAGACAGGGGTTTGATATCACTTTGGCTAGCTGGTTTAAGGGGGCGTGAGGGACGCACACCCTTCAAATTTTTTAAGTATGATATGACTAATATTATTAATGCCATACTTTGATACATATCTAACCAATGCCACTATTTTTGTTTCTGATTTTACTATTAGATTACACGAAAACTCAGGAGCTTCCAGGGGCTTCGCCCCCTAGGCCCCACCATTCAAAGTGTGATATGACTAATATTATTTCATGCCATACCCCGTATTACATGTCCTGTATTCGCCCATGGTTATTACATGTTGTACATCTTAATATTTTTTTATTTAACACACATGGCCCTAAGACTTTGGCATTGGGGGGTTGGAGGGTTGGCAATATATAGAATACTACAGAAAACTTAGGTACTGTATGCTGGTGCCCCCTCATTAAAGCCGTCTGATGACCTTTTTTTTTTTTGCTTGTCAAAGAATTTCCGGAGTTGAGCCCCCCGCCCCCTTTTAAGTTTGTGACTACGCCTCTGGGTTGTTCCTATGACTCGCGAGCCGGTGAATTAAGATGTCAACCGGTCAACCTGGTATATTCCCTATTCCATTGATTTACAGAGCATAATTATAACCCCCACCCCTTATTGGAGAGGTACATGTAGTCGAACAAACTATTAAATTTCACTTTCAGCATTTCTTAATTTTGTTTAAACGCTTTCACAGTTGAGTACCAGTTCGAAGGTTTGATAGGCCAATGACTCACTAGAAAGGGGAATTATGAAACCAACCCCTTTTATGGGGAAAATAAATCATGAATAAATGAATGTCAAAATATTTTCAAGTAATACCCCCTCTCCTCCTCTATTTAAAACCGATCGATTGTCTTAATCATTGAGAAGCTTAACTTGCATGAAATTATGATGTGTTTTTAAATTTTACTGCACTTTCTAGGAACGTACATGTATTCATCTATTTTTTATCCTTTTCCCGGAAAGGGGCATGTGTTTAATTTGGTCAATATTATACCTACATGTTTTAATTCATGCGCTTTTCTGATATTTAAATATAAAATAAAATTTATATAGATACTTAATAATAGTTTTTAACGTTCTTAGAAAGAATCCATTGGAGATGGACATATGAGATTCCCTCTATTGTTCCTTCATCACAAAATACTTCAATGTGGGAACAGCGGTATAGAAGCAAAACTACAAATGTCCTAGCTAGTAAGCCCCATCTTAAGAAAATTAAGACCCATCGAATAAGAGGCTCGATATTTTGAGTCCGAAGTTTATTTAATATAATACAATACAGCCACGTAGCATCGTTTTTGAAAGTGGGGGGGGGGCTGAGAAAAAAACATACTTACCTAAAAAGTTGACAAGCAAAAAAAAGGGGGGGCACAGGAAAAGTTGTCCAAAGTTGACAGTCCTATTTCGTGGGGGGGGGGGGGGGGGGGGGGGCTTTTTCAGTGCCATTTTTTTCCCATACCAATTGCCTGCAGTATGAATAAAACCTTAAGGAGTGGATCTCATCTTTTCAAAGAAGCGGTAAGTTGGTCTGGTAGAACCAGATGATGTTTATTTATGACAAATCGTGTGAGTGTGTCAGGGATGGGAGTGAAAAGATGGTTGATAAGAAGTAACTGACCCTTTGAATTTACTAGTGGGCTCTCAGATAATATACTTTTAGAATGACAGACTTTAGGCCTATAATATATACCGGTATAGAACCATTATTTCCGACTATTTACAATCAACATACCAGAAATTAATAGCACATGTCTAGTTGCAACGTGTGTGTATGTCATGGTCCAAAGAGCTATTTATGTATTAAAAAGGGATGAATCATCCTGAATAGACAAATTGTATATCTCTCTATACAAGATAATTATTTTATGCTAACATCTAATTTGTCCGAACAAATTTCTAATTTGTCCGAACGAATATCTAATTTGTCCGAACAAATAACTTATTTGTCCGTCCGAATTTCTAATTTGTCCGAACAAATATCTAATTTGTCCGAACAAATAACTTATTTGTCCGAACAAATTTCTAATTTGTCCGAACGAATATCTAATTTGTCCGAACAAATAACTTATTTGTCCGAACAAATTTCTAATTCGTCCGAACGAATTTCTAATTTTTCCGAACGAATATCTAATTCGTCCGAACAAATAACTAATTCGTCCGAACGAATATCTAATTCGTCAGAACAAATAACTTATTCGTCCGAACGAATTTCTAATTTGTCCGAACGAATATCTAATTTGTCCGAACAAATATCTAATTTGTCCGAACAAATAACTTATTTGTCCGAACACATTTTTAATTTGTCCGAACGAATTTCTAATTTGTCCGAACGAATATCTAATTCGTCCGAACAAATAACTAATTCGTCCGAACGAATTTCTAATTTGTCCGAACGGATATCTAATTCGTCCGAACAAATAACTAATTCGTCCGAACGAATTTCTAATTTGTCCGAACGAATATCTAATTCGTCCGAACAAATAACTAATTCGTCCGAACGAATTTCTATTTTGTCCGAACAAATAAAAATATTTTTTTACCTGGCCCTCCAGCGGCGCCGTAGATTTGCACCAAGTGGTTATTTTAATTTGATTCTTTGCAAAATAACTTTAATGAACAACATTATCAATAAATATTTTGAAGATAAGTAGTTTTAATGTTGAGGTATTTCTTATAATTTTTATGTACATATTCACTACCCTGCAATTTATTAATAAATTAGATATTCGTTCGGACGAATTAGATATTCGTTCGGACAAATTAGATATTCGTTCGGACAAATTAGATATTTGTTCGGACAAATCAGAAATTCGTTCGGACGAATTAGTATTTGTTCGGACGAACTAGTTATTTGTTCGGACGAATTAGATATTCGTTCGGACAAATTAGTTATTTGTACGGACAAATTAGTTATTTGTACGGACGAATTAGAAATTCGTTCCATCGAATTAGTTATTTGTTCGGACGAATTAGAGAAAATGTGAACAACTGTCAGGACACCGCGATTAATGTGCGATTTGCACCAAGATGGTTCATTTTAATTTGATTCTTTGCAAAATAACTTTAAAGAACAACATTATCAATAAATATTTTGAAGATAAGTCATTTTAATGTTGATGTATTTCTTATAATTTTTATATACATATTCACTACCCTGCAATTTATTAATAATGACATGTAAATAATTTTTGAAATACATTTCTGATACATATGTCGCCGATATGTAGCTGAAATGCCGATTCGGCGTAAAACATTCAATCTATCAATCTGGTACATATGCGGTGTATAAAATTAAAAAAGGTCCTCAATGAGTTTTTAATTAAATATTCCTGTTTGTGAATTAAAAAAACTTCACAAAAATGAACCTGTTCGTATTGATCTCAGGTTGCTCCTATGACTCGCGAGCTGGTGAATTACGATGTCAACCGGTCAATCTGGTATATTCCCTAGTCCATTGATTTACAGAGCAAAATTATAGCCCCCTCCCCTTATTGGAGAGGTACATGTCGAACAAACTATTTAATTTCACTTTCAGCATTTCTTAATTTTGTTTATACGCTTTTACAGTTGAACACCAGTTCGAAGGTTTGATAGGCCAATGACTCACTAGAAAGGGGAATTATGAAACCAACCCCTTTTATGTGGAAGATAAATCATGAATGAATGAATGTCAAAATATTTTCAAGTACCCCCCCCCCCCTCCTCTATTTAAAAACGATCGACTGTCTTAATCATTGAGAAGCTTAACTTGCATTAAATTATGATGTGTTTTTAATTTTTACTGCACTTTCTAGGAACGTACATGTATTCATCTATTTTTTTTAAAATCCTTTTCCCGGAAAAGGGCGTGTGTTTAATTTGGTCAATATTATACCTGCATGTTTTAATTCATGCGCTTTTCTGATATTTAAATATAAAATAAAATTTATATAGATACTTAATACTAGTTTTTAACGATCTTAGAAAGAATCCATTGGAGATGGACTTATGAGATTCCCTCTTTTTGTTCCTTTATCACAAAATACTTAAATGTGGGAACAGCGGTATAGATGTTCTAGCTAGTAAGCCCCACCTTAAAAGATTAAGACCCATCGAATGAGAGGCTTCATATTTTGAGTCTGAAGTTTATTTAATATAATACAATACAGCCACGTAGCAGCGTTTTTGAAATTGGGGGGAGGGGGGGGCTGAGAAAAAAAACTACTTACCTGAAAAGTTGACAAGCAAAAAAAAAGGGGGGGACACAGGAAGTTGACAGTCCTATTTCGTGGAGAGGGGGGGCTTACTTTTTCAATGCCACTTTTTTCCCGTACCTGCAGTATGAATAAAACCTTAAGGAGTGGATCTCATCTTTTCAAAGAAGCGGTAATTGACCACTGACATCACAGTGTTACCAATTAAACACCACCAGCAAAAGTTGGTCTGGTAGAACCAGATTGTTTATTTATGACAAATCTTATGAGTGTGTCAGGGATGGGAGTGAAAAGATGTTTGATAAGAAGTAACTGACCTTTTGAATTTACTAGTGGGCTTTCAGATAATATACTTTCAGAATGGCAGACTTTAGGCCTATAATATATACCGATATAGAACCATTATTTCAGAATATTTACAATCAAAATACCCGACTTTAATAGCACATGTCTAGTTGCAACGTGTGTATGTCATGGTCCAAAGAGCTATTTATATGTATTAAAAAGGGATGAATCCTCCTGAATATATAAATTGTATATCTCTCTTTACAAGATAATTTGTGTGCAAACATCTAATTTGTCCGAACGAATATCTAATTCGTCCGAACGATTTCTAATTTGTCCGAACGAATATCTAATTCGTCCGAACGAATTTCTAATTTGTCCGAACAAATAAAATATATTTTTTTTTACCTGGCCCTCCAGCGGCGCCGTACAAAAATGATCATATTTATAGATTTATTATTTTCTTTATACAGATAATATTATCTGGAGAGATTTTTAATATGCATCAAATGTGTTCAAATAAGAAGCAATGCAACTTTTTGAAAAGAAATTCCTTTTTGTGCAAAACATCAAAATTTTTGTGTAATAGGACGAGATTTGATAACTGGCATCATATATGTTCCTTAATAAAGACTTTTCAGTAAAATATTCCTTGGTAGACTTTAAAATACTTGTACTCTTGTTCCCAAAAACTTTTATCTGGGATATTCTTCAGTTTGAAATTCATATTTGGGAAGTGTAAACATTGTACACATGCATATGAAATACATAAAATTTTCTCTCGGAAGAAATTAGCAAGAAAAAGACAATCTCGAAACTTAAAGATATAATTTGCATGCTAAGGAAATAATAATTTAAATACGATGCATTTAGAGTTACTACGTGTACTTTCTTCTTTGTTACGATAGGCCAGTCTTTAATAGAGAGTGTCTCCTATTCTGTATTTGTAAGAGCCTGGTATAACAAAACTACATATGCCGTCTTCAAATCAAAGGGAGTCACTGTCCAGTCGGCAGAACTTGTAGTCTTCAATATTTCACAAGGCAGAGTGAGTGTTTTTCTGTTCTAAACATGGGAATCCATTTGGTAATTACAAATTCTCAGAAGCAAAAAACAGTTTTCGTTGAAACCAGATTTTTTTTAAAAGTATTTCATCTTTCCATGCTATTTAGGAAAAAACATTAAAGTAAAAAAATTTAAACTCAGAAAGTCAAATTCATATTCAATTTGAGTTCGTATTGATATGTTTTGCTTTTGTGCTTAGTTGATACTCTTTTACCTTTTACATACAAAATTATGTTTTGCTGCGACAAAAACATTGCTGTACAAAAAAAGAGAGTGTGTATCAAAGTTTTGAGCTCCTACGGAACCGTTCACATAGTGAAGATTTGTTTGTGCCTATTTTCAAGCTTTTAAATTATCGAAATGCATGTTGTAGATAACTGAAAAAATGATCGAAAGTACTATAGAAGATGATGATTTTGTGAAGAGTGGCACTGCATTATTGTTGAATTGGACAGATAAGTTTGCAGACAACCAAGATTCTATAAGATCCTACCAAGTTTACATAAGTACAACACCAGGAGGTAATAAAATAACTGATAAAATTAGTAAAATGACAGCAAAGGTTGGCAGTTACCTGTGAATATTTTTAAAAAGTCCGAAAACCTATTCAAGATGCTACTATACACAAGATAAATCACTTTACATGCAGATAAGAGTAATAGCATTATAGCTAGTCATGGATTTTTTTACGCGGTATAGGATAAATTTCTACTTCAAGTGCCTGTAATAAATTTGTCAGCTATTCTGCAACAAATGGTATAAGAAATGCAATTATCTTCATTCTTACAAATAGCCAGAATTGTATTTATTATTCTTTCCTCTGTATACCAGGCCATGCTGTTTGGGAAACAGAAGATTTACCTAATACGGAGACCACATACATGATAAGTGGACTCTCTTTGCCCTCAGGAATCCAGTATTTTACAAATGTCATCGTCTACGGCTTCTCGGGTGTCCACCATACGGAATCTTCTGACGGATTTATAATTGATGACGATAAACCAGGATCCGGTGTAGTTTGGGATGGAATAGGTATGCATTATGTAGATGTCTTAAAATACATTTTGATTTAAGACATATTTTTCAGATGTATGTTATATCTTTCCTTAATATATGTTTTTCTCTATTAAAAGTATTATGGATGTAACATATTCATTCCACAGGTTTATATGATCTGGAATATCAAAATTCCTCGACCTCAATTCATGCTAGCTGGCAAGGATTTTTAGACACAGTCTCTGGAATAAGGAATTACTTTTGGTGTGTAGGCAACACAACCACAGTATCACCAATACACTCCAATACCGAGTGTAATATTTGGGTCTGGGAAAATGTTGGAAATGAAACTTCAATTTCCAAAATACTTTCTGAAGAATTGGCTAATGGTATGATTCAATTTGCTAACGTGATGCATTCTCTACATTGTTCATAGAACAACTAGATTTACAATTATTTGATTTCTATATACCATCTGACATTTCGAAACAAACAACTTTAAAATGTTTTCTTTGTATTTGCCATGATGAATATTTCGATAATTTTCAGGGGCAATATTCAATATTTCTTTTCATTTTTATAGAATCATTGTGTACATCCCTCTGTTTTGATTTTACCATATCAAATTTATACCTTAGTAAAATCTTTGCTTTTATTCAGGAAAAATCTACTACAGCAAAGTCTATGCCGTGGACAATGTGGGATATAAATCTGACATCGCAGTTTCCGATGGAGTCACGATCGACACCACTCCTCCAGAACCTGAGTACCTTTATCACATTGATAAAAACCTCCTGCTGAATCCGTCCTTTGAAATATCCAAAAAATCATTAGCATTTGAGAATATCCACGACCAAAACATATGCACACTTGGTGATGACTTCGTTCCTGATTACTGGAATCTGACGCATGGCAGTTGTGCTACTGTTGTTTCATCCCTGAAGATTTTTGCTAGAGATGGAAAATCATTTCTATTTGTAAGAGGAAGCGTTAAGCAAGTTATTTATGGTCTTACAATTGGAGAAATTTATCGCGTCATCTTCTATACTAGCCACTTTCCAACGCAAGTGGAAACCTTGGCCAATAAAGAAGTGTTTCTTAACATTGGTAAAAAGAAACAAGTGTTTCTTTTGTATTCAAAGGTTTCCAGACATGACGAACAGGAAGTATCGGCAACTCGTGAAATTGTTTCTTGGCAAAAACATAGCTTCTATTTTACAGCAGAAAATGAGAACACTGATTTAGAAATTGGCAGCACAGACATCAAGACTGGTCTCTTAATTGACAACGTTACACTGCAAAGTGTAAATAGGATCCTTAAGAACAGTAATGACTCTCACGTGTCTGCTCATATCGTTTATACACACCAATGGGGTTCCATACATGGAGCCTGGAGTTTCTTCGAAGATGTCAGTCCTATTGTAGAATATCAATGGGCAATAGGTAATGAAACCTTTTAGCATACATTCATTCATTATCTTTGTTGATTGACCTTCCAAAAAATGTTGTTGATACAAAACTTTTTTTCTTTACTAGGATATACAGAAGGTGGAACAGAGATCCAGGGTTTTACCAGTGTGGGGCTGAACAATTTTGGAATAAATACAAATGTTACCCTTGTCCACAACTCGTATATACACGTGACAGTGGTCGCCACGAATGCTGTCGGCCTTAGTGGCTTAGTCTCTACTCCTGTTTATATTGACTTGACGCCACCGGTATTTTATAACGTTTATGACGGCAGATTGTGGTGTAGGTTTATACCTCAATGTTTATAGAATTCGTATTATTAGAATTTAAATAAAAGCCAACTTTAATAAATTTTACAATTTTGCTTCAGATGATGATGAAGATACATGGAAAGATAATAAAGTTATCGTAAATTTTGCGAGAAACGACGAGGAATCGGGAATTCATTTTTGCGAATGGGCAATTGGTAAATAAAAATTCAGTTTCAAATTCTGTTTTATTTTTTCAAATTCGTTTTTTCTATTTATCGTTGGTCTTTTTTTTTAGGATATCACCCATACGGAACAGATTTACAGACATTCGAAAAATTGCCATATAGGGAAACCTTCATGGTAAAAGATTTCAACTACAGTGTACTCGAAAATAGAACCATCTTCTCTACAATTAGATGTCACAATCGTGCTGGATTGTCAGCTTCTAAATCCTCCGACGGTGTGAAGATTTCCGACTAATTTTTTTTTTGTTACGGCAAGAATTTCAGTGACCATTTTTTAAAGGACATGTAATGTTCAGAGAAAATTCTCTAAAAAGAACTATATCTAATAATATTGTTTCTTAACTTAAATGACAGATTTCATAAGATGATCTGTGAAGATTTAAGAAGTGCGTCACCTTATTCTTGTACAGTATATCAATACATGCACTTACATGTATTCTTAGATCTTTGTTGACTCAAAAATGTAAATCATATGGAAGCCTGATTTAGATTTGTGGATGATCTATAACTTCAAAAAAATATATCTTTTTGTACTAATACAAATATATGCTCAGTATGAAACAGACACTCGTTTCTTTACAGGACACTCCCTTCTTTTTCTCTCTTTACATTGCACCTTTCTTGATTTCAGATACCCCCACTTCAAACTGGTATTTTATCTATTTATCACTAATTTGTAAATCATTTAACTACTTTAACAAGACGAAATTCACTTCAAAATCATTTTTAGTTTTCTAAAAAAACAATTCAACACTTCCTCCGTCGACCTTTTTTTTATTCATTTGTTATTATAAACCAATCATTTATATCTTGAAAATTAACCTCATGGCATTTTTAAGGTTTACAGAGGATACTACCGAGTGGTTAAAGTGTAAGATTAAACCAAAGACAACATTTTTCGAAATAATCTTGTCATGCTCCAATCTAGGAGACCATCAATGTTAATTTTGATAGTTTATAAAGTATTGGATATACCTATTAGAGATGAAATCGAAGGCAAAAGTTAAAACAGTTAGAAGTATTACTGAAAACTTTCCATTATCAAAGTGTTTTTTAATAGCAGCTGCGGTATTACTTTTGGATCAACCCTTGTAAATGTATACGTTTTGAAAAACTAAATGCCCTGGTTGAAGTAACCGAAACAAATACTAATTTCTTATATCATGGTATACATTCCGTAGTAAATAAATCTTTCTTATAAAATTTTTTAGGGTTTAACAGTTTTACTCTTTTTAATAAAGAACATTTAAGTCAAGCAGAATTAATGTAATTTTCAAACCTTTTAACATATACATCGAAGGTGGGATCAGGTGCCATGGAGGAGTAAGCATCCCCTGCCGACCGGTCACATCCATCGTGGGCTCCTTGTCATGTTCGGGAAATACGGAAAAATCGTCGTCAATTACATTGATCCTGCTTGTGCAAAATATATTCTTTCCTTTGTAAATATAGGTATTTGAAATTTAATGAAAGAAAAAGAGAGCAAGCTCAAATACCCCACGCTCCCCCAAAAACTCAAAGTGCCAAAATGCCCGGAAAAAATAAAGGTATTGGAATTTCCTGGTTGCATGCACATCTGCATATTGTGTTCTAAACGTCTGCAAAGTTTGAAGAAATTCTGTGCAGCGGCTTATGAGGAATTGCGAAGACAAACTGTTCATCTCTATATTCAAGATATGGCCAAACATCTACGTTGAAAATTGTCGAAATTCCTGGAAAAATTAAAGGAACTGGAATTTCCTTGCAATATGCACATCTACATACATGTACTGTGTACTGCCGAAATTCACAGAGAAAGGAATCGGAATTTTCTGGTAATGTGCACATCTACACCTTGTGTCTTAAATATCTGCAAAGTTTGACGAAATTCTGTGCAGCGGTTTAAGAGGAGTTGCGCTGACAAACTGTTCATCTCTATAATCAAGATATGGCCAAAAATCTAAGTTGAAAAGTACCAAAAATCCCGGAAAAAGTCATGGAATCAGAATTTTCTGGTAATATACACATCTACACATTGTGTCCTAAATGTGTTTTAAGTTTGACGAAATTCTGTGCAGTGGTTTATGAGGAGTAGTGCTGACAAAAAACAGGACTGACAGACTAACTGACTGACAGGTCAAAAACATTATACCTCCCGCAAATTGTTGTGTAGGGTATAAATATCCCTTTTCCTGGGGGACAGTTGGAGGTTAATAGTACTTTAGCTATCTCTACTTACATGTACACTGTACACCAATTAAGCAGGGGAGATGCAGAACAAGAGGCCCATGGGCCACATCGCTCACCCGAGCATTGTGGCTAGGAAAAAGTAGTAATTGGTTAACTATTGAAAAGTTTGAATCCAAAAGTTTGGCC